TTGTCTGTGCTTCTGGTCATCTTTCCTCTCCTCACCTCCCGTGCCCAGGCAGAAATTGTCAGGCAATTTAGGATGTCCTCATAATATGAATGCTTAAGAATTCTCATACACTATCCCGCGTGAAGGGCGCTATATTAATGCAAGTTGTTGTTGTTGAACAGTGTTGTAAAAGTATAAATTGTATTATATTTTATTCTGGAGTCCTTCATCTTAACCCCCACTATTTCCACCTTCAGCCACCTCTCCCCTCCCCCAGTTCAGACTCCCTGTCAGTTGTGTGAAGCACTTTGACACATCTTCCCAATGTGAAAAGTGCTATAATAATAATAATCCTTCCATTTGCTATAGTGCCTTATCACGTCTTCGAAACGACTCAAAGCACTTCACTGTAAAGTGAATTGACTGTATATTTTAAATAACTTCGCAGTTGTTCACTTTCAACTCATGGAGCCTTAGGAACCTCAACGTTCTGTTCGACCTTCAACTCTCCTTCAAATCTTTCCCCTGGGCTCTGACCACGTCCGCATTCCTCCATTTCCACCTCCTGCCCTGGTCACTGACATCCCCAGCTTCATCCTCCAAAAGCTTCAGACTATTGAGAACTCCACAATCTGCATCCTCTCCTGTACTAGGCTGTGTGAGTCAAGGTGCCCCTTCTCACAGCCTAAGGCTCAGAGGTCTGCTGCAGCAATGGGTTTAAATCTTACTGTGAGTGTGCTTGGGCGTGGGCCTGTGAGAGAGCGTGACTGAATGGAAAAATGGAGAAATGAGAGCTATCTTGGAAAAGGAGGGGGGGAAAGCACTGTGCAAGCCAGTTGCATAGAATAATGGAAACAAGGGGAGTGGGTTTCACGGAAATGTCTGACTAATTTGGGTGAAAGTGTCAGAGAGGGGCGTTGGTGATGCTGTAAATGCAACAAAGAGAGCGACTAAAGGGAAGTGGTTCAATTGTGTTTTGAGATGTAATATTTCACCACCAAACAGCAAGGGTTTCTTTGGGGATTACAGCAGTAGCTCATCTCCACAGGGTGGCGCTGGTTTCTCTGGTGTGATTGCTCCTTGTGGCAGTAGATGGTGGTGTTATTTGTGTGCAATTGGAGTCTCAGGGACAGGTTGGTGTTGAGTTGTGACAGGAATTCCTGTTACCTGAGATAAGAGCCCTCCCCACTGACCTATTATCCTCGAATTTAAAAACGAGGATTATGGTTATATTAAGGGCGATGCTCATTGTGATGCTATGTGAGGAACATTTGTTAATGTGCAGCACCAACTCTGGAATATCAATAATAAACCTTGCATTTGATTTAGCAGTTTATTGCACCTTCCATATCAGGAGGATGTCTCAAGCACTTTACAGGATATACTGTGAAAGTCTTGTGATTGTAAATGTTATGGGCAAATGCAGAACTCAATTTACACACAGCAACGTCCCACAACAGCTATGGAGTGAATGACCAATTTTATTTGGGGGATTGTTGGTCAGGACATCAAAGAAACTCTTTAACATCCATTTGGTCAAGCAGATGGGACCTCGGTTTAATGTCTCAACCGCAGGACGGCACATCCAACAATGCAGGACAACCCCAGCTCTGCATGGGAGGCAAGATTGCAACATGGGTCTTGAACCCACAACCTTCTGACTCTGAAATAAAAATGCCACTGACTTAGCCAGGCTGACAAACATTCTGAAAATAAGACAAACTGCCCTTTCAGGGAGAACATATATGAACACCATTGATGTGCTCCAAAATTTTCCTTGTTGAGCTGTTCAGCACAGAGTCATGCTCTCAAAGTATAGACGCCATACAGTACTTAACAGTAATTCCCTTGAAACGCTTTGAGAGATCTTCCTGATGTGAAATGTGCAAGGATTATTGTTATTACTTTAATAGTACTTTAGTATGTTAATAGTAATATTAATTATTAGTAAAAATATTAATATTTATTACTATTATTATTATTTTTAGTACTTTAGCAGGGAACAAGGATACAAGTTTAGAGTTGCAAAATGCTATTTCAGGACAGACACCAGGAAGTATTTTTGAAGGGATTATTACCCTCAGCAAAGTGACCACAATCGACTAACAACCGGGTTCCTATTTACTGCAAGTTAACCGAAGTGTGTGGAGCAAGGAAACTTGCCTAACATTTCGCTCTGCCTGGGAATCGAATCCAGGTCCTCTTGCTTGCGAGGCGAGTGCTCTAACCATACTATAGGACTCCATTATGATGGGTCACCTCATTTACACACGTGGCGGGATTGAGTAGTGACTTATTGAGAAGCTGGAACAAGCTGGGTCACGGGTCAAGTTTTCATTTTTAAAACCGTCTTGAAACATTAACATTTGTTGTAGCCTTCAGCAGTCACACCATTCAACCACCCTCTGACACAGTCTTAATGATCGCTCTCATCTGAGATACAAACAAGCATGAAAGACATTGAAACCTTTGGCGCAGCTCATTCAGCTCCTCCATGTTGAAGTGGAAATTTCACTTCACTATACTTTTTGACTGAACACTGTAATGGAAATTCTATTGAAACACACAAGAAGCAGCAGCATTCATATGTTTTGTTTTATGGGGCATGCGGGAAAGAAAGGCAGGAATGAAAATCCCTTCGTCTGCTGGAGATCGGGAAGCGTTCTTTCCAATATGCCTGGATCCTGGATACATTGAAGGCTGAATAGGTCATTCACTCTGCAAATTTCACTCCCAGAAATACTACTTCACCATAATAGATATCTCAAGTCGGTATGAGCTACATACATGGTTGTGGGCTCCACTATTTGTATTTCTTTAAGTAAACCCCCCTCCCTCCCCAGGCTGAAACGGTTCTGCTGGTTGTCACCCCTACCCGTGGTGTGTGTGAAGCTAAGAGTCTCCAGGACTGGTCAGACTCAACAACATACCATGTTAGCACTCACTGTGGGGATGTAACAGCTGATAGTCTGTTGTAATAGTCTGTTGTCACCCAACCCCCATAGAGCTACAAGCAGCTCGAGGTGTGGAAGAACGTGACTGTTGACATCCAAAAGACTGGGCCCAAGGTGGTCAGTGTTCCATCTCTGGTTGGGTGGGTGAGAACATGCTGACTCTAAACTTCAAGGTGAGATTGAATCTCAAGGGTTCTGTGCTTGTCTAATGGGTCGCTGGACAATCTCAAAGCTTTCAATAATGCAAGCAATTAAACACTGGACAACCAGATACGGAAATTGACTTGGTGAGAGGTTAAGCAGTAAGAACCAACTCTGGCCTTGCCCCACAACTTTGAGACATTTTGAGGAAGGCACAATAAAAATGTATATGGTAAATAGAGAAAGATTGAGAACTAGCTTGAAAACTTTCTTAAATCTAATTTCTTAGTGAAATCAAACCATATTGGAATAAAAATGCTACAAAATCAACAGTAACTCAATAGGTGATGGTGTAGTATTTTCAAATAATAAATCTCACATCTGATGTAGGACCTTATCACGTGGCCAATGTCTCAAAGTGCTTCAGTGGATTTACTGTATGTAGATTGACTATTTGTAGTGAACATAGAGGCCAATTTGCTAATTAGAGATTGAGGCTAAATGGGTTTAGATAAATGAGCAAACATTCAAAGCGAGGTGCTGCCTTCTGAGTTTGGGAGAAATATTTGGGTGGAAGTTAAGGCTGAATGATGATTTGGAGGGAGGAAAAAAGGGAAATGGATTAATATTCTGGAGTCTTTGTTGTTTTGCTTTTGAGATTAGTGAGAACTTTTCTTCAGGAGATTGTTTGGGGTCTGTGATGAACCAAAAAGTTTTTTTTACCCATTTCAGACTTTAATCATAGAATTATATAGTACAGAAGGAGGCCATTAGGCCCATCGTGTCTTGTACCGGTTCTTTGAAAAGATCTATCCAATTCAATCCCACTCTCCCGCTCTCTCCCCATAGGCCTGCAAACTTGCTCTCCACAAATAATTATCTACTTCTCTCTTAAAAGTTGTTATCGCATTAGCTTCCGCCACCCTTTCAGGCAATGCATTCTGGATCCGAACAAATCGCTGTGTGAAAAAATTTCTCCTCACCTCCCCTCTGTTTCTTTTAACAACTATTATCAGTATTGCATTGCATTAAAAAGTGTTTGTGGTTATGATTTAAAGTTGAATTCATTTAAGATGATTGACACATTTCCTTAACACTGTAGAGGAATAATTGTTTGTGGTTAAACTCCCATACCCAATTTTTTATGGTATGATTTGGGATAAAGTTACACAGGAGCTAACCGATTTATAAGCATGTTTACAAAAGGTCTTACTGTGAGAAACTAGTACCACAAATAGGTATTTAATTGACCAATAGACAGTGACTCATAATTGACTTCCCCCTCCCCCCACATGTACAGATATTTCTGTCCACGCAATTATATATTCAAACCCTATTTAACCAATACAAATCTAGATGATAATAATCTTTGCATTTGATATAGCACTTTTCACATCTTCCAGACGTCTCAAAGCGCTTCACAGAATATACTGTAAAGTGAACTGACTGTATATTTGTGGGCGAAATGTAGATCAATAGGAGATTGCAGCTATCACTGTGAAAATGTATTTGGTTGTACCACAGATCCTGCTTGAAATACATCATCATATTTATTTCAATATATAAAAAGAAACCAGACCGTACTTGAATTATGACAATACTAAACGACCAAAACTAAGATTCAAATTGTAGAACCTCGAGTTTCTGTAATTTAAAATTCAATCTGTTTAATCCAAATTTGTTGGAATGTGGTATTGTGTTTTAGTCCTTACTGCTGACACCCACACCAGTTCTGCTTGTTATATAAAGTAAAATTACATAACAGTGTGAAATTGTAACTGTTTTCTTTATTCCTCTTGTTCATTGCACTGTTATCAACCTTGCACACAAGAAGAAATTAAGAAAATCCATGGAAAAGTTATACTGCAATTTTTACTGTCATATCAGTTGTATATATACTTTTGGAACTAAAACACGCAAGAAGCATTTGCATTCATATGTTTTGTTTTATGGGGGGTGGGCGGGAAAGAGAAAGACAGGAATGAAAAAAATAACTACATTCAGCTTTTAGGACATGTCACAGGATTTTATGTTGCAATGTAACAATATCAGAACACAACAGTTTTGTTCTTTTTAAATATCTTCCCATAACAAAATGTTTTACAGAATTAAAAAAAATCAAACTGGAAATACATGAGATATGGTAAACTGCAGTCAAATCACACAATTTCATGTCCAGTTGGCTGTCAGTACCACCCGATACACAGTTTTAAGGAACACATAATACAGGATAAAATGGATTACATTATTAAAAGAACTAAAGGGAAATGCCAAACCCACAATAGCTGTTTATCATTTGGCTTGCGGTTATAATTTATGCATTTATAACAATTACTTCAAAATATAAAGCAAATCATCTGAAATTACAGCATAAAATTGTGGCTTTAAGCGGAATGTACATCCAATCAGAATTCAAACTTCTGAAAATGCTCAATTTAATGCAAATCTTCAGCTGTTCATGATCACTTGGTGTAGTTTGGTTAATTCTCTGCTCGTTATATGCAGGAACTCAATTTGTGAATTTATGCACTGGGAGGAGTCATAAAGCCTATGATCAGTAACTTGTGCATGTTTCCCCTTCGAGCAAGACAACAATAATCGAAGGATTCAAATTGCTTTAAAACAGTTTGAGAGCCAGCTATATTCCGTGGCTTTGGAAATTTATATTTGCAATGAAGACAAGAGGATCTGTACTGGCAACAGGTTAGTTACATAAACAAGTCAATAAACTGCAAGACCACCACAGCACCAGGCCAGAAGTCTCGACTCAACACAGGTGATTACACGTTTTGACTTGTTTTCATCTAAATCTACTAATAGGAATATGTACCTTTATTAACAATTAAATTACATTGTTCAGAGAATTCTATAATCAGTTACTGTCATTGGAGATGAACGTAACTCAGTTTACTGAATATTTTAAGGATCGCACACCAAGGCCTACCCCTCAAGTATGAAATGTAAAAACTGTATTTATTTTTTTGGTCCCTAAAATAAGTTGAAATAATGCAATATCAATAATGATTGTAAAAGTGTACAGTTATCAAAGCCTTAAGCAAACTAAGATCCATGGTGTCACTTTGTTCCCTAACCAGTTCAAGATTTGTGCAAATAATGCAATTTCTTTCATCTATACAATGTAACAACCACAAGACAATTTTAAAAAAAGATTTAAAGTTGAGCAACTATTCATTGCCAATTATCCACAATACAAATAATTTTGTACATTCTTTCTCAATAACCTAGTGGATCACCAACTCTCCACGCCTTACCTCTATTGTCACATAGCATATTACAGTATAATGGTAGTTGACTTTAGGTGACAAATGGAGAAAGAGGGAAGATTTAAAATGGATTTCAGAACAATGTTGTTGCATCTTTAGCTTACACAATAGTTTCACATGCATTGATAATGTACTGTTTCAAAAGGTCTGTAAACATATTTACAATGAAGTATACTTTAAAACTGATAACTGCACACCTTTCATAAGAAAATAATTACATTTATATGTATGTGTGTATATCTACGCGCGTGTGTGAGCCTATGCATGTGTGCCTGTGCGTGCGCCTGTGCGTGTCTGTAATGTGCATCTTGCGTCTGCATTGCTATTGCTTGATTAGGGTTAATATAGCTAACTGCCAATTTTGAAACCTGCCCAGGTAGTCCTACCATAAAAAAAAGTGTCAACTCTATTAGCACAACCACCTCTGCTGCATTGGACAGCACCTTTTATTCTGTCAGTCTCAAATGGACTCGTGTGTTGCCAATGTCCTGTGAACCTTAATACGCTAGTTTTTAAATAGTTACTTTCTTCAGAAACATCCAAACTGTACTGGCATACTTTAGTTTACACTGAGAAATTGCATTAATGAACATAAAGGTGCTTGGCCCACTCAGCATCTTTGTTTAGGTCAATGCTTCAAAAAGTGAACAGATGATTAATTTAATTTCTCATCCTCAACAACCTAACTCTTGAAAAGGTAACCCAATCATAGCTCTTAAATCTTAACACCAGACTTTTAAAAAAACTGCAGACCTATCTCTAATTTTCACTGAATTCTCAACAGAACCATCAGAGCAACTCTGAATTGTGTCAAAATGTTTATCTGCTATAACGACTAACACCAACCAATGTGCGGAATTTTAGCAAGTCTCCTCGGAACGAGGTAAAAACTTTCAATAACATTTCCAGTCATTCTCTCTATAGATAAATTTGCCTGACCACTGCATACAATTAAAACCACATATAATCCCACAGGTACATTAAGAACAGTATGCACAGCATCCATGTTAAAAGCATAAGGAGCAAGGGGGCCAGTGCAAACTGAAAGCTGAACATATCCTCACCAAAACCATTATTTTTGTAATTGTAATCTGAATACTGAGATGATATCAATAAAAGTCAAGCTTTAAACAGTTAAAATCCTAAATGTGTCTGTCTATAATCAGACAAGCAGGCAGGAGATATATCCCATTGACAGTATTAGTAAGTGCTAGATGCCATGGATGGCTGCAGTACAACGAATAAGGCGCGCCAGGTTCCAAGGCTATTATAATACTGGAAAAGGCAGAATAACATAGTATATACAGTACATAATCACCTCACAAGGTGAACCTTAAATGACCTTTTGAACATCAGCTATATACAAAATATGCACAGGAATAAGCAGGCTGCAACCGCTTTTACAACATCAAATGAAGTGCCCCACAGCTTGAACGTGAGACGCTGGATCTCATGGTTCATTAATCAGATAATATGTGCACAAAGGACACGGGAAAAGCACCACTTCTGTCAGGATACCCCTCAACGTGACCAATCTGTTAAAATTAAGAAAAGTACAAAGATTTAATATCTAAAATTAAACATTTACTGTGCAGGCACACAGAGAAATAATTCCAACCCTGTAGACTTTCTTACTCTCGAGCACAGGAAATCTCCAAACACTTCTAGATTCTGATGTGCTAGCACTAGATATGGCTGGGGTGGGGGAAGAGAGAGAGAGGATGTGGAGGAGAACAGGAGAAACATCCTTTCTTTGGCTCTACCTGTGACTTTTTGGGGATGGTAAGATGAAGCTAAGTTTTATAGAACATGGTGAGGATGATGTGTATTGCAGCCCAAACGATCCTCTAACAGGAAGTCAAATGTCTAGGTACAAATACATTTTGTTGGTCAGCTGGGTTTTTGACAAATGCAGAACCCATCACCATACTTAAAGAGTATCCAAACCAGAGAGTTACACCTACACATGGAAATTTCCACATGTCTGGTAAGGGTGCACACTCTCTCCCTGAGGGATGCTCCTGCTTATCCAATTCTGGAGTGTTTTAGGTCCAGGTTGGCTTGGGGACACTAGAATGTGCAATGGGGTTCTGCTCGAGTTTAACCAGCTCAAACCCCAAAATGTGCCATCTAGAGCACTCTCTGGAAAGCTGTCCAGCTAAGACCACCCTCTCATTAAGGCTTTGGCTTGGAGGGTTAACAAGAGCCAGTTGAACTCCCTGCGTAACTCCCTTCCACGGTAACTATCCTTTCTGGTTGACCTGCTGTGCATCAGTGTTTTTTTCAGACAATAAAATGTTACAAAGGAAGGCTCTATCTCAAGATAGAATATATATCTGGAAGATGACAAGTAAACATTACTGACACTTACCCACCACTCCTGATCTTCTTCCCCTGTTACAACGATAACTTCTCCTTCAGCAAATGTAAGCTCGTCATCGTTATCTGCCTGGCAGTCATAGATAGTTTTTACTCGGCGAATCTTGGTCTTTGCCTTGGAAGGAAATCAAAGTTGATTAAAAAATACATCTCTGTTGTAATTAGCAATTTCATTGTTGGTCAGGATTGGTAAGCGCCACAGGACATCCCCCCTGACGTCAAAGACAGCAAAACTCGCATAAATCTTATCTTTATAAATTGCACAATTGCCTGAATTGGACATTCACCCAAGTCCCATTCGGTTTACTTTCAAAACCACTTCTTTGCACTACTCATATTAGTCACCTCCCAACCCTGCTCCCTTGCCCTCCATTACTCTTACTAGTTGCGGGAAACGATGTCTTGATCTGTCTACACATGCACACTTATCGGCCGGCTGCATTAAATTGTGGGAAACTTAGTTTTGATCATGTGCAGAAGAACTTAATTTCCCACGATTCAATGCGATTCCAACGCTTGCTGGTAAGTACACATGCAATGACGGATCATGATGTAGTCTTGATCAATCACCGCATACGCACTTTGAATTATGCATGCGTAGTGTAGATTATGGATTAAATCGGATTTCATACAACTTCTATAGTTTACCTGCAACTCGAACTTCACACAAGTCATATTAAATATTACAATCCCAACTGATGCGACTTATGAGTTTTAAGATAAATGTAACTTTGTATTGTATTGCACTTTCACACAAAATGTGTAAAGTACAGGAATCCATGACCAATAATAATAATAATAATCCTTGCATTTGATATAGCGCTTTTCACATCAGGAGGACGTCCCAAAGCGCTTCACAGAACACACTGTAAAGTGAATTGACTGTATATTTGTGGGCGAACGCGGCAGCCAATTGCGCACAGCAATGTCCCACAACAGTCATAGATTGAAAATTACCAATTTAATTATTGTTTTTGTTTTTTGGAGGGATTATTATTAGGAGTGTGGAGTAAGGAAACTTGCCCAAGGTTTCGCCCTCTGCCTGGAATTGAACTCAGGTCTCTCACTTGCAAAGCAAGTGCTCTAACCACTGAGCTACAGGACTCCAATCCCAAAGTAATTATTTTGCAAGCATTCAGCTAGAAAAATGAGACCCTCAAAACCCCCCAAAAATTGTTGAGGAACACTCTGCTTTTATTTCTTGTTGGACAAAAGCAATTAGGATTTAAGGGTTTATAGAATGTTATTTATGATGCTATTATCTTTAAATTAACTTTTAATATGTAAGGTGTTAAATCAAAAAAATGATTCTAATGGTGAATTGTTGTATAATATCATCAAAATAGNTTTTTTTCACAGGATGACCAATCAAATGTTTCAGTCAGTTCATCAGCGAAACAAGGCTGTTACAAGCAATAAAATACTATTAATGAGTTTTCCTTCTGCTCTTTCTTATTTTGTTTTTCTCCCATCCTTGTTCTGAGAGACTTGTGTTTGTCATTATATAATATTCCTTACATTTTGTATAAGGCCATTCAGGTCTGGAGGATATCCAAAAGTGCTTCACAGGATATACAGTAAAGTGGTGTGACTGTGTGTTTGTGGGCAAATGATGTTTGGCAAAGATGTATTTCATTTTCCCTTCTCCAGTGAAAGAAAGCAACAACAAAATTACATTTGTATAGCGCCTTTCACGTCGGGAGGACATCCCAAGGCGCTGGACAGACAAGAGTTTCAGACCCGAGCTGGGAGTTGGGGACGGTGGATGGTGGGGGAGGGGAAGCAGAGATCAAAAGCATGGTCGAAGAGATGGGTCTTGAAGGTGGCAAGAGAGGGGTCGAGGCAGAGGGACTGCGGGATGAAGCTCCAGAGGGTGGGGGCAGAGTGGCAGAAGGCCCGCCCGCCAATAGTAGGGTGAGCGAGGCGGAGGATGTGAAGCAGGCCGGAGCCCGCTGAGCAGAGGAAGTGAGCAGGATGGTAGTGGGCGTTAGGAGATCGCAGAGGTACGGGGGAGCAAGACCGTGGTGGGCTTTGAAGTTGAGGACCAGGATCTTGAACTGTATCCTCTGTGCGATGGGAAGCCAGTAGAGTCGGGCAAGGATGGGGGTGATAGGATAACGGAACCTAGTGCGGGAGAGGACACGGGCTGCAGAGTTCTGGATGATCTGCAGCCTGTGGAGGGAGGAGTTGGGGAGGCCGACGAGCAATGAGTTTGCATAGTCAAATCTCAATGTAATGAAAGCACGTATGAGGGTCTTGGCAAGTCAAGCTAAGGAGAACATGGTATCCAAGCATATATTCCAGGATTGCAAAGGCCTTTCTAACTGCCTACATTTACATTTAGTAAACTCTTTTCAGTCCCACGACAAAAACTAGGATAATCTGGATTTCCTAGTGTTCCTTTGCATTCTCTCAGGTTGACATAGAAAAACATAGAAAACAAAAAGGGACTTCACTTTTGGGCAATAAAAGGATTAGGATTAGCATGTCACATCAACAGGTTCATGTTGAATATCAAGAGACCTACTGGCCCTGCTGGAAACTGTTACATAGGTTCAGGATCCTAGACACATTAGGCAAATCGTGAGATACCATGCTTGAGCAGACAATATTATTCGGTTTCCTGAAGAAATCATATCTTCAGTTTCAACAATATTTTGGTATACTGTGAAACTGAAGGAGGAACAGGCTCAGAGTAAAATTATGAGATACTGATTTACAAAAGTGTGAATTTTCCATTTTTTTGTGTGGATCTTGTGTTCCTCAGAGTGGGATATATTCTGCTGGGAAATGGAACACTTACCATTTCAGGCATCTCGCATTGAGCCTCCCCAGTAAGGTTCAGCAGTTTGAGCAAAGTATACTGTACCAACAATGTGCCTCAACCCCAATCTAAGCAGAGCAGCCCTGCAACATCCAGCAAGACGATTCCTGCATCCCATATCAGCCTACTATTGCAACAAGAATTACCAAAGCTGTTCTTTATGTTCTTCACTAAACATAGAGAGTGCCTTGTTAATTAATTACTAGCATTTCTAATGTGATGCATGTAGGATTTCTTTAATTTTGATTTCCTCCTTTGTTTCCCTTCAACTTTTCAATTCCTTGTGTAAATGCGATTCATCATGACAAAAACAAACAGTTTAGAACTCACTGTATTTATCTTCCTAGGAAGGGGCACAGGGGTCTCAGGTAGACTGGGAGATGTACCATTTGCTTCCTCGGACGGTTGTCTCTGTGGTGTGTCTCCTGTCTGTGGTTTTGGAGGAATCTCTTGAGCCGGTGGCTTTTGAGAAACCTCTGCAGGCTGGGGCTTTTGGAAGACTTCGCCTACCTGGGGTTTTGGAGGGATCTCTCCTGGTTGTGGCTTTGGTGGGAGTTCCTTTAACTGTGGCTTCTGGGGCAAATCCCCAAGATGAGGCTTCTGGGGCAAATCCCCAAGGTGTGGTTTCGGGGGCAAGTCCCCAAGGTGTGGTTTCTGGGGCAAGTCTCCAAAGTGTGGCTTCTGGGGCAAATCTGCAATGTGCGGCTTCTGGGGCAAATCTGCAATGTGCGGCTTCTGGGGTAAATCTGCAACATGCGGCTTCTGGGGTAAATCTCCAACATGTGGCTTCTGGGGTAAATCTCCAACATGTGGCTTCTGGGGTAAATCTCCAACATGTGGCTTCTGGGGTAAATCTGCAACGTGTGGCTTCTGGGGCAAGTCTATAACATGCGGCTTCTGGGGCACGTCCACAGACTGCAGCTTTTGTGGCAAATCTCCGACCTGTGTTGACTTCTGAAAGGTATCTGAACCAGATTTGTCCACTGAAGCATGATGGACGCTATCAATTTTTCTCAGGGACACTAAGAATAAAATTGGTACAATTATGTTAAAAATTGGCAAAATGTGACAACCTTGGTATAAAACAACAAGATTACATTTGTATAGTGCCTTTCACGTCGGGAGGACGTCCCATATTCTAGATAGATTACTCTATCCCTTAGCAAAGAGCTTTTGGAAATTATTTGAATAAGAAAAAACAGATAACACGGAAATACAACTCAATCACATTCTCGTGTGAAAGTTTTAATTTCAACTAATTCAAATAAAAAAAATCAAGAAGCAACTTCTTTCTGTTCCCATGAATTTCATAGTTTTTCAGCTAGGATATTTAGGCAATATGGACCAAGGACTATCATCATCATAGTCATATCATCAGCAATGTTAGCTGACAGAAGACAAGCTTTATTTGGTGGGACAAGTCCTTCTCCTTCAGATTCCTGTTCTCCGAGGAGCAGGAATTCATATGAGATGTTCAATCTACTGACCTGACTGAGAACTGGCAAACAGAAACAAAAATACCAGTCACTCACTGAGGTTGGCAGAAGTTAAACATCAGTTGAGGCTAGCACGTGAACCCTGTACCTTTGCCCTACAGGACATTCTAGCATTCTCATGCTACAAGACTATTTCCACTTAATCCACCTCCAAAATATTTAATTATTTCTCAGCAAAATGTGAAACATTTTTTCACCATGTGTTATGTACATACCATGTACCAACTTCTGAAAGCCTACTTATAATTAATAGTACAAAGTACATTTTAAGTATTCAGCTTTTAAAAGAAATTGATGCATCAATGCATTTTTGAAACCATAGCTATCAGACTTTCTGCCCCATCCTTTGGAACTCTATTTCACATTCCCTTTGCCTCTCTCCCTCCTTCAAGGCGCGTCTCAAAACTCTCCTCTTCAACCACCCTCCTACCCTTCACACTCCCTGATCCTGATCCCCAGCTCAGGTGCAAATCCCTGGCTGTCCAGTGCCTTGGGATGTCCTCCCGAAGTGAAAGATGCTTTACAAATGTTACTTTGTATTGTATATTACTGGCATTACTCATTGGCCACTGCAAACGTTATGTGCAGCTGGCATCACCTCCTGCATGCTGTACATGTAGACTATGTAGGGAAATTTGTGTTGGTGTTACCCTAACCCAAGCCCACAGTGCGACCATGCTATAAACCACTGAGTTATACCGGAGTTTGACTATTTGATAAATGTATACTAGACTGAACCAATAGAAAAATTTACATTGAGCAAAATATGCTAGATTATTGATTTGGTTTGTTACAATTGTAAGTATTTAAACATTAAACTCATCTAATATTCTTTGAACTCCAAATTATTACCTTTTTGAGGTAGTTTGGGAAGGACTCGTGGGCCTAAGGCAGTTTTTGTGGTTCCAGACCCAGTACTGTACAAAGAAATAAAAACATTTGCAAGTTAAAATACTGTCTGTTTAAACTGTGCTTTGAAGATAAAGGCATACAACTCTGGAAACTCCATTCTGGAAAGTATCCCTATCTCAAATCATAAATCAAAACTGTCAAGCTCTGTATGGTAGGTTTTAATGTTTCTCACCAATCTTAAAAAAATAAATAACTGTTTTGTTACATTTGGACCACTAGATCGCTACACAATGTTACATTTCAACCTTATATTTTATTTATTATTAAACAAATCCTGTTCAAAGATTTTCATTAAGTCCTTAGTGAACCCTCAGGTTATACTTAGTAAAATGTCAGATGTGTGGCTCTTCCAAACTGTTTCCATATGGTCTCAACCCTTGCCATGTACTGAAACATTTTGTTACCCTGAGTTTGCAAACTTGGCACCATAGATATATATAAATGAAACATACAAACAGGTAGGTTAACAAAAATTAAAGGTTATACAAAATGTAAACAAAGAAAACAAAGGGAAGGAAATTAATTGGGCTTTTGTTGCATTAGAATTTGTAGGATGTCATTGTCGTAGGGTTGTTCTATATTCAAAAATAATCAATTAGAAGAACAATAATTCATTGTGTGAAGTTTGATGCATTAACTAATTGTTCAGTTAAAGAGGAAGGGCAATCTAAGGGTAGTACTTTATGATCAAAGTACTTCCCATTGCTGTAGAAGAACTATCTGTTCATTAGTTTATTATATTTTACCTGGAGTTGCCTGCCCTTGAGAAAGCATAGCACTGAAAATATACATCAGTATCCATTTAGCTAAAAAGGTTATTTCTACTAAGGTATTTATTTTAATTAATGTTCCCGTTTCATTAGCCGCTTCATTGTTTTCTGTAAAAGTCCATACCTCATTTCTGCCAGGCTTATGTTGAAATTCTGCACCCATTACTGATTGATTAACAGATATTTTATGGAAGAAAAAAAACTATTAAGCTCAATTTGTTTTTATCGCCTGTGTTTTGGATTTTCAGTCTATCCTGCTTTTCATTACTCTTGATGTAAGTAGGTACACAATGTCCCAGTTTATTTCAGACAAATAAACTTTAGTTCACCTTTTTAGTCATTGGAAAATAAATATGGTTTTCATCAGATTTTTTTTATATAGATAGTAGAGCAATAGTAGAGGTATGTTATGGAACCGTCTAAAATTGAAAAAAGTTATGAAAACATTGAGTATGAAAGAGAGCATAACTCTTTTGGTTAAAAGCAAGTATTCATCCATAATTTAACTTAAAACACAACTATGTTCAATACAGTCTATATTTACCATGGTTGTTGAGATATTCCCTCAAATTTACTCCCTGTTCTGTTCGATTGTGGTGGACCAGAATCTGTACCTGAGAGACAATCATATTTTAGTTTTATTCAGCATTACAACAACAACAACAAAATTACATTTATAGAGTGCCTTTCACGTCGGGAGGACGTCCCAAAGCGCTGAAATGCAGATAGGGAAAAAGTCTAAGGCAAACAACCAAACAGAGACAAGTACATATTAATTCCAGAGGGAAATACAGTATCAATAAACATTGTAAATGTCGGAAATATTTTTGGAAACTGTTAAGAAAATATTTCCAGACTACAAGTGTCCAACTACACTAAATAAATGGTAAGCGCTCCTCACATATCAAGCTCCTTCCTGCAACATGTCAATGAGGGCTACCCATCAACTAAAGGAGATCCTGAGAACTGAAAAGCAATATTCCAAATTTCTGCCGATCAGCACTATTTCTACATCAATACAAGCTAAAGCCTCGTGTTATAATATAGTTCAGAGACAGTATGCATTCTTGGGTTTAATAAAATGAATATCCATAGTTTACATTTGAGAAGTTTCAGATTTCACTTGTCAAAATTGCTAGCAATCCACTGTTGTAGTATTTTTTGTTAAGAGGGATGTGAAACTTGGTAGGAATATTATACAATCTAAACTGCAATAATAATTCACCAAATGGACAATGTTTCAAAGATAGTGGAGTAGATCCTACTACAGTATTCTATTGCTCACAGAGAAAATGTTTATGTACAGTTTTTCCCGAAACTATAAAAAATCATTACTAATTTCATTAATCATTACTATTTCTGCATTTTAAGACAAACACACTTATTTATGGCATCTGGGGTGCTCGCCAATTTGCTAGCCAAGCATTATTACAAATAGATTAACTATGATCACTTTGTGATCTTAGTTAATGTGTGATACCAGGTATAATGTCTCTTCTAGGAACTTATGTGGAAGTTATAGCTCTCAAACACAATGATTGATATCTGTGAAAGAATGCTGAAGAATGATTTTCTCTTCCTATTGATATTCCTTAGTAGCACAATCCTTTTTCCATCCATTTCCTCCTCCACTTTAGATGAAATGTATACCCTTCTGGTTTCAAATGATGGATTAGGAGTTTCAGATAGATACTGCTGCGAGTAATTGGACGTACTCTGAGCAATAGTTCTTTTATAAAATGCTCTCAAACAAATTCTTTAAAATGTTTATGTTTTCTGAAGAACTGGAATTTGATGTGCCTTTGGATTTTACAAGCTTAAACATTCTTGTTGGTAGGATTGTCCTTCACCAAATTAGGTTATGGAAGTTAGATGCTTTGCTGTGCTTGGAGCACGTTTCATACTTATAAATGATGTGATACCAGAAGGCAATGCAATTTCGTGTTTTGAGCATTAGTCCAATGAGAAGAATCAATAAATCCAAAATTATAATACAAATTAAATTCTAAAATTCTTTCTCAATACTACGAAGAATTGTATCTTAAAGAAAACATGATGAGTTTACCCTTCCATATCACATCTTTAACTTGACTGCTCTTTCTAAAGTATTGGGAGTGTGTTTTCCCCACCCAACTGCACTCCCACCTCTCCATCATCGCTTGCTTGTGCCCTCTAGTGTGTACAGACTCACTTGGTTGACACTAACAATGTCCCATTGCCATCTCTCGGTTTCTATTCTCGATTCTGTAGTATGTTCCAGTTAGTGCAATCTCAGTGTTCTGTTTGATCCTCAGGTCACTTTAAACCCCCACATCCGGTCCATTGCTGAGTCTCCTTTTTCCAATCCTGGACAGGGGCTATCTAGACCACTACGTCACTGAAATTGCTGCCTAAATTGTTATTCATGCATTTGTCATCTTGGAAGTTAGACTCCTCTAATCCTTGTTGGCCTTCCTAACTACAATCTCAAAAAGAACCAAAACTGCAGTCTATATTCTCTTCCACACAAGGTTCTGTACACTATATTCCCATCACCTCATTATTTTCATGCTCACATGGTTCCATATACTCCCAGTATCGTAGAAAATCAGCTTTAAGATCTTGGTCCTGCCCTTTAAATCCATTCACAGGTCTCACTGCTCCCCATCAAGGAAATGTTCTCTCTCGACCCACATGCTGTTCACCTGACATTGGTCTATTATGTATTCCTCAAGTATTTCAGCTCCAATGATAGGCAAGCCTGCAGTCACTATGTTCCTGCCCTCTAGAACTTGCTTCTAAAAATTATTACTAGTAGCAGAGGAGCTCTTGCCAATCCATGTGAACTCTCTAGAATTAGGTGAGAAGGATCCGTTCCTCCAGGGAGAGCATGCACAATAAATTCCAGATGTAGGAACATTTCCAAGTGTAAGTCACATACACATGTGGAACTCTGGGAGTCTGGGTTGGATACTGTAAAGCATGGTGAAGGATTTCTACATATATCAGACACATAGATAACCAAAAAAAAATCCAAAACTTCTCAACCCCATTTCCTCACTCCATATTTTCAAAACCTTAAACAAATCTTTGACCACACCTTTGGTCAACATCCCTATGTCTCCATTCTTTCTTCTCCATATTCATTCTGTGTGAAAGGTGTTATTGTATAAGTTGGGGTATAATAGCTTCCAGTTTATAAATGTATTAAAGAACAAAGCTTTCCTGAGTATATAGATGACATTCAACAATGCTGCTGACAATAGATGGACAACTAAAGATGCAGTGGAGAACTAGGTCTTACATAAAACAGTTGAATAATCAGCTGACCCAAAGAACCATGCAAAGGACATGTCCCTAGGTGATTTTGTCTCTCTCCCACATGAAAGTTGAATGCATGAGAAAGAATTACCTTATGCAGTTTTTTATTATTCATAGCACTGAATTTAGATAAACAATATCACCAATTTTCTGCTTCCAATGTAACTACTCTTTTTAACTGATTTAATGAAAGAATAAAAACTCACCCCAAGGAATCAGTCCTTTATTCTGGGGACCATGAGGTAGTGGGCTTGGAGGGTCAGATAGGGTTCGTTTGTGTCCAGGGGGTGGGGGTGGTGGTCTCTTCTTTGATAGAGTGGAGCTGCCAGTTGGGTTCTGGGAGCCTACAGGAAGGGTTGAAGGAGGGACTGGGCCAGGTGGAGCTAGAGAAGCACAAAAACACAGCTGAGTGCTGGAGGACATGTGGAGTGAGAGAGGTTATGAAAGCAGGCAATGATAGAACACAGCATAGAATCAAAAGCAACTCTGAGGTGTTAAACAACTGATTCCTGACCAACATTGACTAAAACTAATGACTGTTACACAAAAATTAAGTATTATGATCACATAATTGTTCATGCAATGCTCATACCTACCTATATTATTCAGACAAGATTATTTAAAAAAATGATATTCAGGATTCAAAGTAAAAGCCAATTTTACATCCTGACAAAACCATTCTTCCAGAATACCATATGAGTGATTTGCTTCATCTTGAAACTGGGTAAATAATACTCATTTAACAATGTTTTTGTTTTCGCCTTGTACGTTAATATATGCTTCTAATTGTAATTTATTGTTGATACTGTTAAATCACAGAAGTAAACATGCTTCAATTAATCAACTGAGCAGTATTATAACTTCACTTGTCTGGCCCTGTAGGGCTCTCGTTGTTACTATCAAAGTTATTGGTTGTGTTCACCTGTGGGGGAGAAGGTGAAACAGACCCAAACAATTCATGGAATAAATTAGAGAACAGTCTCTAAGAAAGTGAGTTGGGACTAATTTGGGACTTAAGAGCAGACATGATACTTTCAGTTACAAAAGCCAACAGAATGCTTGGATATACTGCAGAGTTAAGAATAGTAGAATACCAGAAAAATTATGGTTTACAATGCTCGAGCCAAGCCACGGCAAAAAAATGTTCAGCATAATTAAATGTCACAACAAGGTACATTTATATTAAAAAAAGGTAGAAAAGAGAACCAAGAACCCAAGTGAAATGAAGAAAGAGAAATTAATCATTTAGTCTGTAAAGAAGGTGGTTGGGGGGCTACATTAAAGTATATACGACTTGAATAGATATAAAAACATAAACCTAGATTTACTTTAGAATAAGCCAAGAAGGTAGGATTAGAGGACACAAATTAGTGTGAATTAAATTTCTAACATGTATCAGGAAAACACAAATTATTATGTTATAAAAAAGATTATGAGGATAATAAAAGTAAAAATAATGAGGTTAGTAGGGGTGACACATTAACCTAGACACTGCATTAACGTATACTAATTTTGTGATTCAGAAGGTGAATGTTTTGAAGTGTATGTATTATAGTGTGATATAACATGTTGAGTAACTCACATATTCATTAATAGTTGTTAAACAGCAAGTGGACGAAATAGAATACATTTACCACAGAATGAGACACGGCAGAATTATCATGCAGGGAATGGTACGTTGGCTCAACTGAAGTAATTAATGAATATTTTTAAAGTCATACAATTTGATGTTTTTACAAACAAAATGTGAATTACAACTTCTAATGAACTACTTTTAGAACCTTTGCCATTCCTCTTTCACTTTAGTCACCAACCTTTGTTTGGATTCCTAGGAGGAAGAGGAGGGGCATCCACAGCTGGTGATGTTGGAGAATCTGTGCTGCTCCCATATATTTGATTACTAAATGCTCCATATGAAAGCCTCTGTTTGTCTCGTGCGCTGCCGAAGCCTGGAATTGTGAGTTTATCTTGTGGAGAGAGACTGGACGAATGGCAAAAGCTTTGTGGCCTTGGAGAACGCTCTTTCTTTATAGGGCTGGTCTAATAGAGAGAAATGTACAAAACTAATTTTACAGAAGCTAAATTTATCAGACCACCACAACACACATTTATATAGAGTCCCAAAGCGCTTGACAGTGTAAGAGCATGATGCCGAGACAGGAGGTGATCATAGACATGGTCGTTGAGGAACGTCTTCAGGCGCGACCTGAAGATGGGGAAGGAAGGGGTAAGGTGGAGGGATAGAGGAAGAATGTTCCAGAGTTTCAGGGCATAGTGGCTGAAATCATGCCCACCAACTGTGGAATGGAGGGCACGAGGAACACGCGGAGGCAGCGGGTTGTGGGGTAAGCAGGTCGGAGTTGGGAGGTGCCAGGATATGAAGGAATTTGAAAACGAGTGGAATGATCTTGAAATCAATCTGTTTGGCAGTAGGGATCCAGTGGAGCCTGGCTAGAACTGGTGTGATGGGGGTACAGAGTTTAGTGAGTGAGTATGTGGGTGGCGGAGTTTTGGATCAGCTGGATCCTGTGCATGGTGGAGCTAGGGAGACCGGCAAAGAGGGCATTCGAAAAGTCGAGTCGGGAGGTGACAAATGATTAGATAAGTGTTTTGGCTGCATCTGGGGTAAGGTACGATTGGAGGCGGGCAATGTGGCAGAGGTGGAGGAAGGTGATCCTGATCAGGGTCCAGATGTCGGGCAGGAAGGACAGCTGTGGGTCTGTTCCCATTCCCCTAAAAACTGCCACCATCACTCCCACTTTGAAAAAACCCTCCCTTGATGCGTCGCAGCTATCAAGCTACCGGCCCATCTCCAACCTCCCCTTCCTGTCCAAGGTCCTTGAAAGAGTTGTCGCCTCCCAGCTGCGTTCTTTCCTCTCCGCCCATGCATTATTCGAACCTCTTCAGTCGGGTTTCCGTGCTGCCCATAGCACAGAAACCGCCCTGGTCAAGGTCACCAATGACATCTTGACCATCTGCGATCAGGGCTCCCTCTGCCTCCTCGTCCTCCTCGACCTATCGGCCGCATTCGATACGGTCGACCACGGTATCCTCCTCCACCACTTGTCCTCCCACCTCAACCTTCAAGGCCCTGTCTTTGAGTGGTTTAGGTCGTACCTCTCCCACCGTCTTCATTTTGTTTTCACAAACGGCTTTTCCTCCGGCCCCCGCACTGTCTCGTGCGGTGTCCCTCAGGGCTCTGTCCTCGGTCCCCTCCTCTTCACCCTCTATATGCTCCCCCTTGGTGACATCATCCGCAGACATGGGGTTAACTTCCACATGTATGCGGATGACACCCAACTCTACCTTTCCTCCTCTACCCTCAACTCCACGACCACCGATGTCCTGACAGCCTGCCTGTCCGACATCGAGTCCTGGACGAGAGACAACTTTCTTCAGCTCAACGTGCGCAAAACTGAGGCCCTCCTGATTGGCTCTCGTCAGCGCCTCCGCACCTCAGGCGCTGACAGCATCAGCATCCAAGGCTGCACTCTCCACCTCTCAAAGCCGGTCAGGAACCTCGGGGTTCTGTTCGACCCTGAGCTGTCCTTTCTCCCTCATATCCGCGCCACAACTGGCACCGCCTTCCATCACCTCCGGAACATCGCCAGACTACGGCACTACCTCACCCCTCACGCTGCTGAAACCCTGGTCCACGCCTTTGTCACCTCAAGGCTGGACTATGGGAACTCTCTCCTCGCCGGCCTTCCCGGCACCTCCCTCCACAAGCTGCAGGTCATTCAGAACTCTGCAGCTCGTGTACTGTCCCGCACCAGGCTTCGCGACCACATCACTCCCACCCTCGCTCGCCTCCACTGGCTCCCCATCCCCAAGAGGATTGAATTCAAGATCCTCATCCTCACTACAAGGCCATTCACGGCCTCGCTCCCTCCTACCTCTCCGACCTACTATCCCCCTACTTACCTGCCTGTACCCTCCGTTCCTCTGGCTCCGGTCTGCTCCACATCCCCCGCCCCAACCGCCCTACCATCGTTGGCCGGGCCTTCAGCCTCTCAGCCCCGAGGCTCCGGAACTCCATCCCCCAGTGCCTTCGCCTTACTTTCTCCCTTTCCTCCTTCAAGGCCGGTCTCAAGACCTTTCTCTTTGACCATGCCTTCAGTTCCCCTCTCGACTCTCTACCCTCTCCTCGCTCCCTCCCTTCCCTCACCCTGACCATTTCCCCCCTGCTCGGGTCCTGACGCAACTGTCCAGCACCTTGGAACGTCCTCCCGACGTGAAAGGCGCTCTATAAATGAAATCTTGTTGTTGTTGTTGAACCAGATTCCTAGGTCGGGCACTGGTTCGGTGAGTCTGAGGGATAGGTCAGAGAGGTTAAGGAGGTCAGAGCCCCACGATAGAAGACGTTGACGGTAGCCAAGGATTATGGCTTCCACCTCGTCAACATTTAGTTGTAAGAAATTTTCGCTCACCCAGGCCCTGATGTTTGCCAGACAAGCCGACAGAACACCGGCGGACCTGGAGTCATAGATTGCGGATGAAACACAAATGTATTTCTCCTCCAACGTGTGGAAGTTTACCCCATGTCTGCAGGTGACATCGCCAAGAGGGAGCATATACATGAGGAAGAGGAGCGAGCCAAGGATAGAGTCCTGGAGAAACCATTTGAGGAGATAAAGTGAAGGCGGTTTGTTAGGTAGGACTCGTACCACGTGAGTGTGGTTCCACTGGGTAGATGAGCGAGGGGAAGCTGTGGACGAGGATGCTGTGGTCGACTGTGTCGAACGCGGCAGAGAGGTCCAGGAGTCGAGGAGGCAGAAGAAGCCCTGGTCACAGAGAGCGAAGACCTCATCTATTCCATTAATATACCTTTTTCCAAAAGACCAAAGCTGACAGAAACTCAGGGATGAAAATTATTTGTAATCTTTGCCAAAAATGAATTTTGAAAAGCTACAGCACAGTTCACAAAGACCGTCAGCTAGTCAAATTCCAAGTTCAACAGTAATAAAATTGGTCATGCTGTGGCTAATTGGCTGTGCAAGAGATATTGTGTGCAAATTGTTTGCTGCATTCGCTTAAATAGTCACTACACCTCACAGAAAGCTTGAGATGTTCAACATTGTAAGTACTAAATCAAACACAAGAATTAATACCAAAACAGTAATTTGAAGCAGAATCCATACTTTTTTTTAAAAAAGAGATTGAACAAATATTCAAAAAATAAAAAAAAGCCTTAGTCTGCGCTTTAAAATTCTATGATTTAAACTTAAAAAAAGTCAATCCACTTTACTGTGAAGCTCTTTGAGACATCTTGAAGACGTGATAAGGCAATATATCAAATGCAAGGATTATTATTATGATTCTTTTTTTTAAATGAATGGCAAACCATAATATTGAAGATAATGTGTAGCCCTGTATTTGAATAACGATTTATTAATATGGTGGACGGCTGACCTGCCAGGAAACATACTCGTCTATCACGATTAGGTCTTCTCTCTCCTGACTTATTTCCAGAACCTTGCACCTGAGGGAAAGCACAACTACAAGTGCTACTTCTGATACAAACTCATTATTCCAAAACTTGAACTTCGTAGCTAGTGGACTGTTCTTGATTTGGGAAGTTTGGCAACTATCAAAACAACTTGAAACTTTATAGGCACATCTGGCAAAATTCAACTTTTGTAGTGCAACACATGCCTCAGGTTGCCTTAGTTGATAGCACTCTCATCTCTGACTCAGAAGCTTGTGTGTTCCTCAAAAACTGTAGGGAATGTTTTCCACTGTCCTGATCAATAATCCTCCACATAAATTGGTCATTCACTTTATGGCTAGGTGCAAGTTGATTAACGTATCTGTCTAAAAATATACAGTTAATATACTTTAAAGCAATTACCTGGGAAGCTTCTGAGATAAAAACAGAAGTCACTGGGAACTCTTAGCAGGTCAGGCAGCAGGTCAGGCAGCATCTATGGAGAAAGGAAAGTGAGTCAACGTTTCGGGTCCACGACCCTTCGTCAGAACTGGGAACTTTGTTGATTTCTGACCAAGGGTTATAGACCCGAAGGTTTGACTCACTTTTCTTTCTCCAGAGATGCTGTCTGACCTGCTGAGTGTTCCCAGCGACTTCTGTTTTTGTTTCAGATTTCCAGCATCTGCACTATTTTGCGGTTAGTGCAATCGCAGTGTTCTGTTTGATCCTCAAGTCCACTTTAAACCCCCCACATCTGGTCCATTCCTGAATCTCCTTTTTCTAATCCTGGAACAGGGGCTATCTAGACCACTACCTCACCCTCTCTGTTGCTGAAATTGTCATTCATGCATTTGTCAAAAGGGTCGTGGACCTGAAACTTTAACTCACTTTCCTTTCTCCATAGATGCCGCCTGACATGCTGAGTGTTCCCAGCGAATTCTGTTTGTTTCAGATTTCCAGCATCTGCAGTATTTTGCGTTAAGCTTCTGAGATACTTTGACTTTAAAATGTAAATTCTATATTTTATATATTCTCATGAGGGGAGCAAAATGCAGACACTCCAAGATGAAGTTCCAGAGGCAAAATGGCTCCATTTTGACGGTGCAGCAGATCGGATGGGTACGTGAAGCAAATCAGTGTCTGCTGAATGGAGGGAACTTCATCCTGGAGTGGCTCCATTTTGCTCCCCTCGGTCTCTGCATGCAAAATACCCTTAAGACCAATTTTGGATCATGCTTTCACCTTCCTTTTCTCTCCACCCCATCCCCCCCACCAAAAGAAAACAACTCAGGATTCCACTGAGCTGTGTGAAAAGCTTTGCAAGAGGTCGCAGAGGTAGCATGGGGCAAGACCATGGATGGATTCGCAAGTGAAAACGAGGATCTTGAATCTGATCTGATAGGGGAGCCAGTGGAACTGAGTGAGGATGGCGATGATGGGCTTTCAGAGCCTGGTGCAAGAGAGAATACGGACTGCAAAGATGCAGGACTATATCTAAAGCAATGGATGTTTCAAGGTCTCCCGACAGGTACTGAAAAGGCTGATTTAACTGTATTGAGGTACTTTTCTGTTAAGTGCTTGTCATTACAACAAATCACATTTCAAAAACACTCTGTGCTTACCTTTTCATCCAGGTCATCATCACTTTCATCAATTTCCTCTTGCCGTAACTGCCACTCGTATTCTACATGAATATGAGGATTAATCTTTCCTAAAGCTGCTTGATTAAGCTGGAATTAATAAAAAAAAAGTCATTGTGCAATTGCAGATAAAAACATCATGTAAAATATCCAATGGCTATTTTTATGATATGCAGTTAACTTTTTACTTTACTGCTTTTTAGCAGGATAGCAAAGATGATGTGGTGTCAACTCAAAAGATATGGACATATACTTTACAAATGCATGATAAGTGTTATCTAGTATGAAAACTAAAATCACAGTGCTTCAGATGATTTGGCCATTTAAACTGCAGGAATATACAAGTTCGTTTTCATTTTAGACATAAAATTGTTATTTTTTAATATCTTACTTAAATAGTGGACCGCTAAAATGGTTTGCAATTTAACCACTAAGTGGTACTAAAAGGTCATACCAATTTGAAGAGTGTCATAGTATATTGCAGTACAAATGTGCTTTTCCAAGGAGTAGCAGCATGTGAGTTAACTCACACAATCCCTCACATCAGTGAGATTCCAATTAGACGTCTGTGGTAATAACACTGAGTGAAAACTTAATGGGGGGAACAATTCCCTGGTGGGCAATGAGTATGGGTCAAGTATTGATACAGACCTGGCAATAGGTCACAACGTCTTTCACAGCATGAATTAATGTGTGACCCACAAATAGATTTTAAAAATATTTTTTAAAATCTAAGTACTAGATACAAGCTTGCTACAAAAGAGAAATACTCTCACCAATTTCATACTTTAAGATGTAAAATGTTAATACTTCCATTTGAAGTAATTAGAATATACTTTTGGTCTCTTACACAATTAAACCAGATAAATGCTGTGCACAACTGTTGTGCACAATGTTTAGTTGAAAAGTACTAACTATATACTTTACATGGAGCAGAAAATAACGCTAGAAGTAATTTGGTGAATTTTGCAACCCAAAATAATCCGAACAATGCAATAAATCCAGTTTGCAAGTAAGACCCTAATGTTCACTCTTTTCTCAAGAATAAAGCAAAAGACAATGAAATCTCCTCTTTCAGATAGCAATTACTTGAATCTTCTTAATATCCTTTCACTAGATTTTTCCTTCTCTTTATTTTGATGGGCAAAATGGCAGTAGATTTGATATCTGGAAAACTCTAAGGTGATTGTCAAATCTCAGTTTCTTGGTAGATTTCATTGTGTTATATTACAGCATCACCCAATCAGTAAATTCTGAATTTCTTGGGATGAATCATTCTTGGGCTCATAATAAATTGAATTGGTACTTATTTATTTGTATATACTGAAATATAATTCACAATGAATGCAGCAGCCAAGAAAATTAGGCACAGAGATTTATTAAGGAGAATCCAATTATAAAGGACTTCATTACAACTTATAAGGGGATTGTAGAGTGAACCCAAAGTTAGTTACCTAAAAATTCCAAGGGACATCAGCAACTACAGGCTTCCCTGGAAGTTTTATTCTGGTATTCCCCTTGCCAGCCAGTGGCTTACAGTGCTGATGGAGCAGGCTGTACCGCTGTACATATGCACAGTGAATGAGGAAAAGCTAATTGGCATTCACACCCTCCTATAGTGTTGATTGAGATTTTATGGATTCCAAGCACCGCTTTATAATGGGTGTTACTATATTATGCACTTTCATATTTAGTGTTAAATCTTGTGATTGACCAGAAATTTTGTGGAACAAAAATCAACACAAGTGCAAAAAACAGAACAACAACAACAACAACATTCCATTTATAAAGCGCCTTTCACGTCAGGAGGACGTCCCAAGGCGCTGCACAGTTGGATCATGACCCGAGCAGGGGGGAAATGGTCAGGGTGAGGGGAGGGAAAGGAGGGAGCGAGGAGGGGGGAAATGGTCAGGGTGAGGGGAGGGAAGGGAGGGAGCGAGAAGGGGGAAGAGAGTCGAGAGGGGAGCTGAAGGCTTGGTCAAAGAGAACATTTCTTACCAGTTCTTCACATTGAACACGTTTTAGTCTTTTTACTATATCAAGAGCAGTCTCACCACTCTGGTTTACTGTGAAGAAAGTACATAAAAGACAACAGTAAGAGAGACAAACATTACAATAAAACCAACATTTATCTAAGCTAAAAGCAAACTGTGGAAGTAGCTAAGAGTTCAGACTGCCCAGACAGATTTTTTTTACAATCACTTTGATAATATTTCAAAAATATATGAATGGTATAGCTTGAAGGTTATGTTGCCATTTTTGAAGACTTGAATCTTTCTTGAAACGTGTCTCAAAATCTACATTTAAAATCCTACAAAAGTACTCTAAAGTGCAGTCCACACGTGTTGAATGCCAATTCTAGTTTCTGGTATTGAATGTAATTATATGTTCTGAGGAAAGAAAACAATGATTTCAGCACTCTAGCATAAGTGGGGGGGGGGGCAAATTTGTGGGCGAAACCCGGCAGCCAATTGCGCACAGTGTTATTCCAGCTGAGATCACTGCTCCCGATTGCTACATATCCAATGGCCACTACTGGAAGGTTCATATGTGGACAGTGGGTGAAGCCAGGGTCAGGCTCTCCCACTCCCAAACTAGCCTTCGAAACTAAACAATATCTAAAACTAAACATGAGGCACAACATCTTCAGGCTGAAGGACTCAAAAGCAGCCAGTGGGATGAGTCAGCACCTTTGGGGCTAAGGAAAAACAAAAATCCTGTTTCTGTTTTTTTTTAAACATGGGAGAAACTGTTTTCCTTGCGTTACCTTCAAAAACTATATTCTATAAGATATTCAAAAATAAAGGTGAACTTGTACGGTTATCTTTATTATAATAATTGCATTTGATATAGCGCAAGGCTGGCAGGTGAGATGAGGAATTACCAATGGAAGAGGAAACACATTTGTCCTGTAAATTTTGTTAATTTACAAACTTGTGTATTCCTAAGTAAGATTAAGACTTACATTGGAAGCATTTATCTACAGAATATCTACAAATTATACCCATGATTAAAAAAAATAGAATCCAATACAACAGACAGAATACTCACCTATATCTAAACTTGGTTTGCCCCGAAGAAGCAATTTTAAACATTCAGTTTTATCCAAGATACAACAGTAATGTAGAGCTGTGTTTCCCTTTATAGTCTGTCTGTCCAGATTGCCACTATATAGGGGTTAAATAAATGAAACAACAATAAGTTTTGATTTTAATTGATCCATATTATATGACATGTGATATATCTACAGTACTTTTGAAAATTTCTACACGCAGGTTTAAACAGAAGGTAAAGGATATTGTTTTTCCCTTTCTTTCTTCTGAAAAGCATTTTCATGCTACACATTTTCCCAGCTAGCACACTGCTCCCAGGCCATGCTGCTCTGGAGCCAGCCACCTGAAATTCTAGGAATGTGTGCTAGATTGAACTGGACTTCATATTTTAATCTCCTTTTATTAATTAGCCTCTGCTGGAAACTCTGCTGCAGGGGTTGGGGTGGTGTGGGGTGGGGGGGAGAAACAGCTGCAGTTCACATTCCTGATCACTGTCCAGTTACCTCTGCTGGAAAGTGCATGTGTGGTTGAGAAGACGTCCAAGCTCAGCTGTGATTCCCCCAGAAGGTCATTTAGGTAAAATATTAAAAGGGGAAACTTGTAACTAATGGAAGCATTGACTCCAACTTGAGTCACTACTTTCAAGAAAGGGATGGAATTGGAGGAAGGGAAAGAGAAAATTATACAATGGTAAGAATACTGTACAGTTGTTTAGGTTATTATAGCAGTATGCGTAATAAATTGTGAATCCAACATAGCTAAGAAAAATAGAGTCAAGTGACCTGTGCTAACAGAAAAAAACTAACTTTACTAAAAGGTTCCATACCCATTTTGCACAAGAAAGTCAACCAGGTGGAGTGAAGTTCGGTCAGCAGTTCGCACTGCTAGATGAAGCACCGTCTCCCCTGGCTCCTGTTTGGTAGATAAAGATTTGTATTATTGTACAACCAAAACACTTGAAATTATTTTGAAAAGAATCAATATAAATAGTGTTATTCATGTCTTCAGTTTTACAAAAAACATCCCTCAACCTAAACAAAAATGCCAACTGCAACCACATTAGCTATTATAAAATAAAAAAATGCAAATTTATTGACAAAATGTCAATAAGAATGACTATGTAAATATTAAATGCAAGAGGGAAACATTCTCATAACATCGCTCAACAGTTTCCATCAACTCTGTACTTTTATTTATTGTGACGTACATATATAAAAATGTGCGTGTACATAAAAATACATATTGGAAGGTCATGTACTACTTGTATCAAACATGGTTAGAATACTTTAGTTATTTGACACTGAAATCCTCCATGTATGTACTAAGCTTGCACTTAACATTTGGTGCAAACTTGGTACATTTGAAAAGTCTAACTTGGACAGAAAATGGAAGTCTAGACCCTCAAAACAGAAATAATACAAATATAAAAATTGAGCAATATAAACAAATCATGAAGTTTGACAATATAAATTTAAATATTGTACAGTTTGCTCTGTCAGTTGCATTTTTAATGAAAAAAACTTAACAGGAACTGTCAAATATTGGAACCATTTCTACATTGCATTACAGTAACATTATTATTATGATGAAAGGTAAATTTATGGGTTACAAAGGCATCTAGTATAAATACAAAACAAGAACATGAATTAAACAAGAACAAGTCATATTTTATATATTGTAAATACAGAGCTGAATGGATTTCCAGTTAAACGGTCACTATTTCTCACCTGTCCAGGTTCTGGCAGTGGCTCCATTAGGTCAAATCCCTCTGCATAGACTTGGATTAGTGCAACTAAATCCCTGGATTTCACAGATTCCAACAACTCACTCATTTTCCCTACAGGAGACGTGCACGTCCTTCTGGCAAACTTATGTTCTACATATTTTGCATGAATGTATTCTTTACGTGCGGTCCTATATAAAAACATACGGTTGAATAAGATTATGGTCTTCTTAAATCCGTTCGGCATGAAAAATTGCAGTCAAGCTCCCAATGAAGGCATAACATTAACAATCTGAACATCTCTCTCATGTGATAATGCAGAGTACGAGTGATTCATATTTGAAAATATTACTGATGGATTAAAAAAAGGCAAAATATTAGAAATGTATAAATCATATTGAATAAGTGGGAACTGGACTAAAACCGATGAAAGCCCGTGCCAGCCTATTAAGAAAACAAACAAAATATCAACAATTTAAACCACCATGAATTAGAATTTGTCTATTTGTATCTATAGTCGATTTTCTTGGTTCATTATTTTCCTTTTTTATTGCTGTCTGATTTGGGTGGACATATTGGGACCAAACACCCTACCTTGCTATTTCAAAGAAATCTATCGAGTTGTTCTTCCTGTTAACCTCACTTATATTCCCTCATTTTTAATTTTTTTTGTAAACACTCTGGGACATTTATTTAATGTGAACAGGCACTAAAATAAATGCATTGATTTATTTCCTTTCAAGAATAACATTTTAAACAACTGTCTCACAAATGTACTTACATGTCACTGTTTGGAATAGGCTTTGGTGACGGATTTGGTAAATCGCCTTCCATAATTTCATTAAAACTGGTATTGCCTAAATTCTTGGCCAGCTGGATGTTGAAAAGAAAACAAATACCACATTTTAAAAAAATCATTTCTGCTTCTATACAATATGGTTGTTTTATATATATATTAAAAAAAGTAAGTCAGTTCTTACAAAGATTGATAATAGGCATTGCTAACAGTTAACCTGCTTATCAATGAAGTTAGGAGCTTTAGACAACCTTAAAGTTAAAAGCTTGGATAGAATAGTCCTGGTTGGATAAGTATTGTAAAATTTAATGCTCTGAGCTGTTATCACGAAGTCCTCATCCAGCATAAACCAGAATTGTTTTCATACACATGGGACACTCCATGCTCAACGATTAGGTTAACTCACCAAGAGTTCAGAGGTTCCTAATTTGTCCAGTTCTAGAGATTGTATTCGAGAAATATGCACTCCCATTTCTCTGTGTATCCCGGAACATTCTATACACGTCAAAATGCCAAGATTGGTTGAAAGCCATGTTGGATCTGCATGAGAACAAGAAATGTCATTTACCTTTTCAAATATAGATCATATCAAAGTAGTCTCTGTAGGTCTAAATAATAATCCTTGCATTTGATGTAGCGCCTTATCATACCTTCGAGACATCTCACAAAGCAATTCACGGAATATACTATAAAGTGGAGTGACTGTGTGTTCTGTGGGCAGCAGCGTCCCACAAACACTCACAGAGAGGAGATGGTTAAGGGGAGACAACCTAACTAATGTGGAGTCCTGTAGCGTAGTGGCTAGCGTGATTACCTCACAAGCGAGAGGACTTTTTAAGGCACGTTTCCTTACTCCACACACACAAGGCTCTGTCTACTCAGCAGCAAGCAGGAATTCAGCGGATTGCCCTCTGGGGGCAATAATCCCTCCCCCAATAAATGTGGTCACTCCATCCATGACTGTCTATAAATGACTTAATTGGTAAAAATTCTTATATGTGATTTGGAAGTTCTTAATTAGAAATCCACACATTTTAGGCCCCATAATTTGTATATTGTTAAAGCATAAAATAAAGGGGAACTGTGTGGCATAATGGGTTTGCACATTGCCCTTTCACCTTGGGTATCTGGGTTTGAGTTTAAATATAAATAATAGGTTGAAGGTTCCATTTTCTGTTGGATGTAAGGGTTTACATGGAAGTCCAACAAACCCCTCAAAGGTGAAAGTACAGTACTGTATATTGAAAACACTGAATGTATTTATCAATATTGTGTTTGAAGTGATTTAGCACTACTCAAGTTATACCGAAGTTATATATTAGTACTGCCTGCAGGTGGCAGCATGACTAAATTAAAATCTACAAAATGTAAACTGCAGTGCAGGCCTGTAACAATCTGAAATAAATTTCATACTTCTGCTAATTTATGTTGAGATTTTCTTTTAACAAGTAATTTGATCCCAATATGCAGACCATTGATAAATTACAAATGGTTTTATAATGTGAAACACCAAACTGGAATAGTTCAATCTACATTTATTAAACAGTTTTATTATGTCTCTTCACGTAAACTGCTTTCAACATATACTGTGGTTCTACTCACTAAAGGACACTGGACTGTAACAAATATCAAAGTGATATTATACCTCTGAAATATAGTCTGCAATGTGCAGATCTAGATTTGTGAAAAATTGTCATTATAACCAGTCCACCAAGGCATTTGTTTCAGTGATCACAAGTTCACAAGAAGTTTGGTTGGACGAGGCCCCTCGGCTCATTCGATTTTATCTTTCAAGATTACAAACACGATCCCTCTCCTATTCCAACAACAAGCAGTTTCCTAAACTGTCCTAAACTCAAAAAACATTCTTCTTGATAATGCATTCAAGTCGATAATTAGCTTTCCTAGTGTCTGATCAGAAATTGTTCTTCACACGCCTGGAACTGTGCCCTTTTGCTCTGGGTTTACTTTCTCAATCCCATTTAGAATTTTATAAACCACCATAAAGTCCCTCTCTCAGACGTCTCTTTTCAAGACAGAAGAAACCCATCTTATCTAATTGTTCTTCATAGATTGCTCATACCTTGGGGATTTACACATTACTGCCTCTAGAGCTTGGGCAACTCCCCTTACGTCACAGAGACCAGAACTGGAACCAGCACTTCAGGTCAGGTGCAGCCTGACTAGAGATCTGTACAAACTGAGTCTGATTTCTGGGAGCTGAATTTCAATAAATAATAATAATAATAATAATAATGCTTGCATTTGATATAGCGCTTTTCACGTCGGGAGGACGTCCCAAAGCGCTTCACAGAACACACTGTAAAGTGAGTTGACTGTATATTTGTGGGCGAACGCGGCAGCCAATTGCGCACAGGCATCTTATTTACCTGGTTTATTGCAGCTTCACACTGTTTCGAAATGATGAGCAATGAGTCAAATAAACTCCCAAGTCNTTTTTAGCTTGGGAAGTTATGTTCTATCTATAGAGTACATATGCTTTGTATTTTTATTGTTTACATGCAGTACTTTGTAAAACTCCCACAATTCATATCAGTCAGAGCCCTAACATTTAATATGACTTGCATAACATCCAAGTTGCAGGCAAACTATACAAGTCATATCAAATCCGATTTCATCAATAATCTACACTGCACATGCATAAATCAATGCTGCTGATAAGTGCAGATGCGGCAGTTCATCACTGCAGCTGGTAAGTGCATCAGCGGCGACAGATCAAGACTATGTTTCCCACGACTCAAAGCATCTTGGACTGTCGCCATATGTGGACTTATCGTCAAGCATTGAAATTGCATTGAGTTGCGGGAAATGATGTTTTTCTGCACCTGTGTCATTGAAACCAATCACCTGCTGCCTCGACCCCATCCCTACCCCTCTTCTTACCTCCCAGCTCCACCTCCTTACCCCTCTACTTGCAGACACCATAAACCCCTCCCTATCCCCTGGTACCATTCCCATCTCTTTAAAAATATCCGTCATCACTCCTATTCTAACCCTCCCTGGACCCATCCCTGCTCTCAAACTTCCGTCCCATCTCCAACCTCCATTCCTCTTTAAGGTCCACTGTGGCTGGAATGAGTTGTTGCTTCCCAGCTTCGCTCCTTCCTTTCCCACCACTCCCTTCATGAACCCTTCCAATCAGGTTTCCTTGCTGCCCACAGCACAGAAATAGCCCTGGTCAAAGTGACAAATGAGATTCTGTCCATCTGTGACCAGGGCTCCCTCTGCCTCCTCATCCTCCTTGACCTCTCTGCTGCCTTCGACACTGCTGACCACTCTATCCTCATCCACTGCCTCTCCTCTCACCTCAACCTTCTCCTTGAATGGTTCAGATCGTACCTCTCACACCGCTTCCACTTCACCTCCACAAACGGTTTCTCCTCTAGCCCCCGCCGTCTCGTGTGGGGTTCCTCAGGGCTCTGTCCTTGGTCCCCTCCTCTTCTATATCTATGTGCTCCCTCTTGGTGACATCATATGCAGACATGAGGTCATATATGTATGCGGATGACACCCAACTCTACCTCTCTGCCTCCACCCTTGACTCCAGGACTATTGCTGCGCTGACAGAATGTCTGTTAGACATCAAGTCCTGGATGAGAGCTAATTCTCTTCAGATGAACGTCAACAAGACCGAGGCTCTCCTGATTGGCTCCCGTCAGCGCCTCTACACCTCAGGCGCTGACAGCATCACCATCCATGGTTGGACACTCCACCTCACTGAGCCAGTCTGGAACCTTGGTGTCTTGTTTGACCCTCAACTATCCTTTCCACTCCACATCCGTGCCATGACCCGCTCTGCCTTCCCCCACCTCCGCAACATCGCCCGGCTCCGCCACTGTGTCGCATCGCAGGCCGCCGAAACCCTCAAACATGCATTCCAAAACAAGGGAGCATAGTCTTGAAATTAGAACCAGGCCATTTAAGAGTGAAATCAGGAAGCATTTTTCATTCAAAAAGGGTGATAGAAATCTGGAATTCTCTCCCCCAAAAGGCTGTGGATATTGGATCCATCCACACCTTCAAGAGTGAGTTTGATAGATTTTATTAGTTGAGGTACAGATCAGCCATGATCTAATTAAATAGCGGAACAGACTCGAAGGGCTGAACGGCCTCCTCATGTTCCTATGTTCCATAACATTGTGGCTTGACTATGCAAACTCCTTGCTTGTCGGCCTCCCTAACTCCTCCCTCCATAGGCCACAGATCATCCAGAACTCTACAGCCCGAGTCCTCTCCTGCACCAGGCTCCATGACTCTACCCCCCACTCCTCGCCGGACTCCACTGGCTTCCCATACAGTTCAAGATCCAGGTCCTTACCTTCAAAGCCCTCCATGGTCTTGCTCCCTCCCTACCTCTGTGGCCTCCTAACCTTCTACCAACCTGCCCGCTCCCTCCGCTCACCGGGCTCCAACCTGCTTCACGTCCCACATCTTGCTGGCCCCACCATTGGCAGGCCATTCTGCCACTCTGCCCCCACCCTCTGAAACTCCATCCCGCAGTCCCTCTGCCTCAGCCCCTCCCTTGCCTCCTTCAAGACCCATCTGAAGACTCTCCTCTTCAACCGACACCCAGCTCGGGTCTGAAACACTGACTGTCCAGTGCCTTGGGATGTCCTCCCAATGTGAAAGGCACTATGCAAGTAATTTTGTTGTTGTTGGATCAAGACTAGATTTCCCGCAATGTATTGCAGCTGTTACACGTGGGAGTATTGGAGGATAGGGGATCGGCGTTATGAGTTAGAAAGTGATTAATATGAGTCGTAGAAAGAAATCTAAGTGGTTTTGATAGAAATGGTACTGGAGTGAATGTACGACTTAGGGATTATACAACTTATAAAGATAAGACTTATGTGAGTTTTACTGTATTAAACTTAATTTTCCAGTGATCAGCCAAAGTACACTAACAGCTCTTTTGTAAAACCTTTGCTGCCTTCTCTGATTCCAGAGTTTTCCTAACTTGATGTCATCGGCATATTTAACTAACCTTACATTGAGTCTGTGAATCCAAGTCATTATTAATGTAGAAAAAGAACAGGAGGCATCTTGGTACCAAACCCTTAAAGAGGAACACCATTTAATACCTTCCTCCATTTTGATTTACCTCTTCTACAACACTACCACCTGCTTCTCCCTCACCCCCTCCCTCAGTTAACCAGTAATAATGTCTCACACTTGAAATCCAGTGATATCACCTTCTAAAAGTCTCTCATGTGGTACTTTGTCAAAGGCCCTTTGAATGTCCAGCTACAACACATCCAATGGCTTCACACAGATGTCTCCATGTGTCTTTCTAGCTTTCTCTCTCTCTCACTTCCAGTCTTTGCCCCCTCTCTATATCTAGTGGTCTGCTTGTAGGTCTGTCACTCGGACTCTTTTTCGCCAATCTTTGTTTCTCTGTTTTGTAAATTATCTCATACTCATTTGCTTTTTCCCTTAGCTCTCTTCCCTTATGTTCTCATCCTTGCTTTTTACACATCAAGTTAGTCTGACTCTGAATACCTGTCCTTTTACAGCTGTGGCTGGCTTCCACTTAATAATAATAATAATAATAATCCTTGCATTTGATATAGCGCTTTTCACGTCGGGAGGACGTCCCAAAGCGCTTCACAGAACACACTGTAAAGTGAATTGACTGTATATTTGTGGGCGAACGCGGCAGCCAATTGCGCACAGCAATGTCCCACAAACAGTCGTAGATTGAAAAATGACCAATTTAATTATTGTTTTTTTTTGGTTTTTTGGAGGGATTATTATTAGGCGTGTGGAGTAAGGAAACTTGCCCAAGGTTTCGAATTGAACTCAGGTCTCTCACTTGCAAAGCGAGTGCTCTAACCACTGAGCTACAGGACTCCACGACTCCACGGACTCCACTTGTCCCTCTCCTTTCTTTGCCTCCCTCCCCTTCGTTTGTCTTCTTCATTCCCCTCCTTCCCTAATTTTTTCCTCTTGTTTCTCGTTACAATAAAACCATTGGTAACATTCCTTACGATTAAAATAATAAATACAGAATTTTTTAACTGAAAAAAGTAATGAAGCACTACAAACCTGGGGCTCCACAGTCGCAACAGATATCATTGCCAGGCATGCGCTGCACATCTTCAATAATAGCTTTTGTCAGGTCCTCGATGCTGTTCTCTCCACTGGTTTGTTCTCCTCGGAATGCCATGTTTAATGCTTCCTCTTTACTGTTGGTTAACACAGATATCCACCTGTTCAAATAAAAATGATCCCAATTAACACTGTATGCATCTTCTCACATAAGACAGCCAAGATTGGAGAGTAAGCAATTAAATTACATATATTTGGTGTGTTCTAGCAGGTGCTAATATAAAGGCAGGAGTCTCTGACTGATCTGTAAAAGCTGAAGTAAAATTCCTCACTGCATCCATTTCAGGAACTGTCAATCAAAATTTCTGCATTGCATTTTGCCCAAGCAGTAATTTAGGGCACCACCAAACGCACCAATGACATCAAAACTAGTGACAGCTAGTTAGCTCAAATCCACCTTTCAAAATCAATCTTCTGTCAATCTTCAGGGCTATAACTTTGGGAGTGATCACAAACTGGCACATCGGGTTATTTCCAGCCAGTAAAAATGACTTCAAAATTACTCAGGACAGTGTTAGGTTTTGGCTAGCCAATAAAACTAATGCTTTACAGGACTAAACTTCTGTCTAGAACAGAATTGTTTAAGGAGAAAATACAGGAAAATTCTATCACCAGGTCATAAAGGAAAAGCACATCAACTGCCACGAGGGGGAGCTGCCTGATAACTGTTTCAGCAACAACACTTAAATAGATAGTCAAGATCACAAGATGGGTTCGGATAAAGAAATCCCTTCAATAAAAATGATGTTTGAACACATCCCTCCAAGTTACCAACTGAACAGTCTTCTTATTACGACATAAGGTTTGCTGAATAAATCCCATATTCCCATATTCTAGTCTATACTACTACATTTGGTAACTTGTTTCAGTTATTAAATACAACAACAACAACTTGGATTTATATAGCGCCCTCCACGCCGGACAGCGTCTCAGAGCGCTTTACAGTAACGGAACCCGGGGCCGAGACAGGGGGAGGGGGAAAAAGGTGACCAAAGGCGCGGTCGAAAAGAAAGGTCTTCAGCAGAGACCTGAAAATGGGAAGGGAGGGAGCGAGACAACGGGAGTGAGGAAGGCAGTCCCGGAGCCTCGGGGCATAGTGGCTGAAGGCACGGCCACCGAGGGTGGAGCGGAGGACTCGGGGGATGAGGAGGAGGCCAGACCCGGAGGAACGAAGGCAACGGTTTTGAGGAGAGAGGAGGTCAGAGAGGTAGGGGGGGTGCAGAGGAGTGGAGCGACTTGAATACAAGGGTGAGGATCTTGAAATCGATCCTCTCTGGGATAGGCAGCCAGTGCAGTCTGGCAAGGACTGGGGTGATCAGGGAGCGGAGTTTCGTGCAGGTGAGAATGCGGGCGGCAGAGTTACCTTCTGTGTAAGTAAATACTTCACAATGTTAGTCTTAAATTTACCTTTCACATCCCTGAACTTGTGCCCTTTTGTTAGACTGCCTTGGCGGATTTGAAAACATTGTTCCAGATTTCATTTTTTGATCTCTTTAAGCATTTTATAGCTCTAAGGGGTCTTTTCAAGGTAAAGAGGCCCTATTTTATTTATTCATTCCTCAAATCTCTTTCCTCTAAGGAGCTCTACCCTGCCCCCAGAGCCTGTCACAGTGAACTGAACATGTAATAGAGTATTCAAGAAATAGCATGACCAGAGCACCAATGTGGTTTAGCAGTACAATAACAACTTGCATTTACACAGCGTCCTTCGCGCAGGGTAGCGTCTTGGAGCGCTTGTACCAATAATCCTGAACTAAAAGATTTAATTATCATTGTTTGATATTGCTCTGGGCCAAAAGATTGGAGGTTGAAGTCTATCGGTACTTGAACTCTTAATTTAGGCAGACCGGCATTTGTGATACTGGGGGAGCAGTGCACTGTCGAGATGCTGTTCTTGTGAATTGTCAACCTTTCGTCTCACCTCAATCTTCACGGTTGTCCTTGAATAAATATTATTGCCTGACGTGGTTTACAAACGGTGAATGTTGAGTTAACCAACACCCTTAGATCTTCTGCAGCTTCCCCAAGTCGAGCTCTATCCCATCCAAGTGCCTCCTATTTTTACTTCCAAAATGCAATACCATGCATTTACCAATATTCAACTTTATTTGCCGATAATAAACCAAGTTGCATACACTCTCTTTGTAAGATCTTTGCTGTCTCCTAATTCTACTGGTTTGATGTTACCTGAACTTTTTTCTATCCTGTACTGCATCTGTGAATTAAGGCCATTTATACATAATAAGAATAGGAAGGGGCCCCAAAATACCCATTTTGACTACTAGAGCCTCCCCAAAAGTTCCCTTACAATTATCCTCTGCTTTCTTTCTTTTAGCTGGTTAATAATTTACAACTAAGTAATGATACCCACTAACATTTAGTGAAGCTGTGTCCTTGGTCGTACTCTGTCAAAGACCTTTGAATAACTTGGTAAATTAGAGAAAGTGGCTTTCCATTGTCAATTTGGAATATCAATTTGTTAAGTGTCTATGACATTGGTCATATAATAAGTCTACCCTCTGAAGTCATGCTGGCTGTGATAGGTAGATTATTTTTTTTACACAGATATGATTCCAGTTTGTTTGATTAGTGACTATCATAATTCAATTATTTAGGTTAGGCTGATGGGTCTGTAGTTATCAGGTACAGGTCTGTCACTCTTCTTGTATACAAAAAATATGCGTGTTTTCAGTCTGCTGTAATCTCCAATGATTTTTGACTTCCTCAAAATGACTACCAGTTTCTTATAAGTCCTCCATGGTCTCTATATGCTCTGATATACAGTGTACTTGTGCCTGTCTGATTTTTTTTCTTTATTTATAGGAGATCAATTCAGTTCCATTTAGCCAAATTGTATTCTTTAAAACTGAAGTCTCCAAAATGTGTTAAGATATTTAAATATATACAGTAACTTGTTTGTTGAATAATGTAAATGTGTAAGTAAGTAACACTGAATATCAAGAGGGCATTCTCCTTTGAACAACATCCATTATCTCTCTGGGGTGATTTCTACATTATAAATCAAATCAATGGTTTTCCTCAAAAAATAGATTTGCACTAAAGCTACAATATGCCTGTTTGTGCTGTGGTTTTAATGCAGGGGAATCAGGCATGAATCTGTTCATCACACACGACAAGCAGACTATGTATTGTGCAGTTAGCCTAGAACCATCTGAGGGAGTCAAGATCACAACAGTTGCTCTCCCTTCTCCAACAAACTTTGTAAAACATTTTTTTTTAGAAAAAGTGGCATCTTATACTAGAATTTTCTTCTTTTCTTCCTACCAATGATCATAGAAGAAGCACTTACACTTGGCAGTCCTGCTCATCTTCCGCTTGGAAATGATAAGTCCGGTTATCTGTTGGCATGGGAGAAAGAAACAGACATGAAAATATGACCCTAATATTAGAAATAGAATTACATTAGATAAAGACTATTAGTTACATCACAGCTGAAAACACGGCGTATTCATTGTTGTATAAAAAAATACCCTCAAGTCAACTTCCAATTACCAACCTACAATCATTAGATCTTGCATCTCTATCTTGAATATGCGAAGAATGTTAGTTGGTTATAATCTGGCTCAATAAAAAAGTGCGGGTGCACCTTTTCCACCACGACGTCCTCGTCCATTACAAAATCACCATAAATGTAGTTTCTGGCCCGCAGACCACCTGCGCTGCTTACCTGATGTCACTATGGGCGGAGCGGCTCTGGACACGCATGCAAGCTACAAATGGGCCACACACGGAGGGCCCCCTGTTGTGATCGCCTGTGTGTCTGTGCGTGCGCGTCTCTCTCCGGGTCTCTGAGTGCAGATCTCTCTCTCTCCGTGTATGTCTCTCTCTAGGTCTCCGAGTGTATGCATGTCTCTCTGTGTCTGTGAGTGTGTGTTTCTCTCTGTGTCCGTGAATGTGTGTCTCTCTCTGTGTGTATGTGTGTCTTTCTCTGTGTCTGTGAGTGTGTGTGTGTTTCTCTGTGTGTGTGTGTGTCGCTCTGTGTCTGTGAGTGGGTGTGCGTCTGTGTCTCTCTCTTTGTGTGTGTGTCGCTCTGTGTCTGTGAGTGTGTGTCTCTCTCTGGGTCTGTGAGTGTGTGTATGTCTCTCTCTGGGTCTGTGAGTGAGTGTGTGTCTTCCTCTGGGTCCCTGAGTGTGTGGGTGTCGCTCTCTGTATCTCTGAGTGTGTGGGTGTCGCTCTCTGGGTTTCTGAGTGTGTGGGTGTCGCTCTCTGGGTCTCTGAGTGTGTGGGTGTCGCTCTCTGGGTCTCTGAGTGTGTGTGTGTTGCTCTCTGGGTCTCTAGAGTGTGTGTGTGTCGCTCTCTGGGTCTCTGAGTGTGTGTGTGTGTGTCGCTCTCTGGCTTTCTGAGTGTGTGTGTGTGTCGCTCTCCTATGCATATACTTAGTTTCATATAATTAGGTCACTTCAAAATACCCAGCTATTTCCTATTAACTCAAATGAAATAGTAGAAGGAAACATACGTGATATTAAATCAAAGCATTTTTTCTCATCGCCACTGGGTTTCACCTGGCAAGTTAGTAAATTCAGTCTTGCTGGTTGTCTATTCACCTTAAAAATACAATAATATGCATTAAAGCACATCCTAAACCAGAATGTTTTATTTAACAAAACAATTTTTGTCCCCCACACCAATATTTCGTAAGTTACAGGAGAAAGTAATGTGGGGGGGTTTGTTCCTGTTTTCAGCTTGAAGCACTTCTCCCTTAATTGAAGGGTTCTTCTGTAGAGTAGAATTTAAGTTTCAAAGAAAATGATCATCTTTCAAACAAACAGTGGAGTCCTGAAGCTCAGTGGTCAGAGCACTTGCCTTGCAAGCGAGAGCCCTGGGTTTGATTCCCGGCAGGACGAAACCATGGGCAAGTTTCCTTACTCCACACGCCTGATAATAATCCCTCAAGAAAAAATAAATAAAATAATAATTTGGTCACTGAACACACAACTGTTTGTGGGACACTGCTGTGCACAATTGGCTGCCTCGTTTTGCCAACAAATATACAGTCAACTCACTTTAAGGTATATTGTGTGAAGCACTATGAGACGTCTAGAAGATGTAAAAAGGGTTACATTAAATGCAAGGATTATTTTATTATATAAAGATAATCTTAATGATATATCACAGGAACAGAGGCAGCTTAAGTATATATCCATTGAGTATATATCTGTCGAGTGTAACATCTTGCTGATCAAGAATATTAACTGCGTTTGAATAAAAATGATATCAAAGAAATATCACCAATGTTTGATTAAAGTACTTCGCCCCCATTCCTAGTTTTGAACATGTTATTTTAACCCTCAAGAAGTACAGTATGACTTTTTCCCCACAGAAAATATCTAAATTTTCCAGCCTGAACAAAATTATAATATAAACTATTTAATACGCTTCCATAAAAGAACTGTCAAAAGTCAAAATTATTTCTGAGCTGTGAGAAATTTTGTATGAAAAGAAAATAACAAAAATCTTAAATTTAGTAATGATACTAGCTAAAGGTAAAGACAACTCCAAAGTTTTATTGACAAGATGTATTTACCTCCCTGTCTGCTGAACTTTTAACAAAAAACACCTTGTTTTACACAAAGTAAAAAAATCTTGAAATAAAGGACCCATCTGCAGAGACCAGAAAACAAATGCATCAATCAAACAGCTGTCAGGAAGCAATTTCTTCATAATTGCTCTTTTAACCAACCCACTCAGCAGTAGTCTTTTCAACACAAATCCTGCTGAGCTTCGAGTCAGTGCATTTTGATTTCTGGGCTAAACAACTTAAAGATTGATGTGAAAAATCCATTTAAACATCTTCACTAGAAGGATACCACGTATAAGACTTAATACAAATGAAGAGAGGATAGAACAAATTACACTACAAGGTATCTGATAGATATGTTTAAGATACTGAGGAAGCAGGACAGTATAGATAGGCTAAAACCTACTTCCATCAGATGGGAAATAAGTGACAATGGGGCAGTTTCAGGATTGTTATCAGAAACATTAAGAGAAACTTAAAACAAAATATCTTCACTTAGAAAGCTGTAAGGGAATCACATTCATCAACACAAGCATCTATTAAAGCTGGATTAATAAAATCGCTCAATAGGTACCGGAGTAATAAAAACATTAAGGGCTTTAAGGAGAGAGTTGGAAAGTAGGATTAATAAAAAATGGGCAATTTAGAAAGACAAGCAGCAGTAATGGACAAAATTAACCAAATGATTCTCCTGTGCACAAAATTCCTGTTTCTATCTGCCATTTTTTGACTGTTGATAAAAATCGCTTCGCAACATGTCTGACAGAATTTAAATTTTTAACAATCCATCTAAAGGATGTTTAAAAAGAACCTTTATATTCCTCTTGCTATTTGCAAAATAAATCTTTAGAGTTGATTATTGGCCAACTCCAAAAAAAAACCATAGCAACTAATTGCATCTCCTTCAAGTCTGCCCGATTGAAATCGGTCAAAATACATTTATATAATAATCCTTGCATTTGATATAGCGCTTTTCACATCAGGAGGACGTCCCAAAGCGCTTCACATAACACACTGTAAAGTTAATTGACTGTATATTTGTGGGCGAACGCGGCAGCCAATTATGCACAGCAATGTCCCACAAACAGTCGTAGATTGAAAATGACCAATTTATTATTGTTTTTGGTTTTTATGGGATTATAAAAAAAATGAAGCATGCACACACACAAAATGTACCAGCACAGACACAGGGCCGTGCTGTACGATCTATTTACATTTAAAGGAATTGGAACAATGAAGGAACAGACAATTGTGTACATTGGGAGGAAATGAAAATTAACATCAAGCTTATGAAGAGGAAGAAGACAATTAAAAATTCTAAAAATATTAAGTATACTGTGACAAGATACCATATTTCACAGCACTTTTTCTAATGCTTTGCCAATCGTTATGAAGCCAATATCCGGTGGATAATATTGGCTTTTAATGCATTGCAATTTTAGCAAGAAATGCAAAGTCAATTTCTTACTTCAGTTGATATCTTAGTTATAATTTAATGACTTACAGGTTTCCAAATACTTGCAGTATACATTTTTCATTTGTCACTCTTTTCAACTAAGTAAACAGGCAAAATGATAAGAAACAAGCTAACAGATAATATTGCGCACATGGGCAAAACTTACAAAAATATTCTAATGCTATAAATTTTCCAAAACAATCCATGCCTTCAGTTCATTAACCTCTTTTCATTCTTTAAATATAACAGTACCAAGTTTGTCTTCGGTTCTTAGAACATGGACTGACATAATTTTTTATCACAGCCAAGTCTCTAGAAACTAATTAATAAATGAAATGCAAATGCAAGGATAAGTAATTTCACTATTTTAAAGGCAATAAATCTCTCAACCTTTATCAAAAGTAACCTCACTTTCTAATAAGGTCTTATTGTATTACATGACTCATGAATCAGGTTAACACTTCAAAACTTTTTTTTACCCAGGGGCATTAATCAACATATGGATAAATGATTAAAAATGAATAAGATACATAGCACTTGTCCCTTTCCATTAAATACATCTACATTCCAACATGCATGAAATAATTTTGTTTTTGCTTATATTTAATTCACTGCCACTTCTCTTCTAGGAATGCCTACCTTGAAGAAGTTCTGCTCTTCTCTTTGGCTTGAATTTCGTTCTTCCCTTTTACCCTGCTCACCTTCTTTGCTATCTGTTTCCCTCATCCTCTGTCCTCTACTCCATTTTCTCCTTTGCCCTGCCTCCCCCTCTCTGTTAGCCCTTAAAAGCCTCTCCCTCCCAACATGCCCCAATTCTGACAAAGGGTCATGGACCCAAAACGTTGACTCACTTTCCTTTCTCCATAGATGCTGCCTGATCTGCTGAGTGTTCCCAGCGAATTCTGTTTTTGCATGAAATAATATGCAGTTTAAAATTACCAATGTCATTTAACTATGCCATCTTTGCAGCAAGCCAATCTATTGTCAAGCATTTACCAGAAGCTTACTTACTTACACAAGGTTATGTTTTAATAATAATCATTAATCCTTGCTTTTTTTCTCCACGCATGTTTTGTGTTTTATTTTTTAAATCATTGTCAATCGAGGAGTAGCCCCAAATTCAAGATTACTGTTGAAGAATCTTGTAGCTTACAAGTAAATGAACCTCTGCAGCACTGTTTCCCAGGATGAATTATTTACAATACTGTATATGGCATTCTTTAATTCAATACCGTGGGTCTATCATTCTGTGTGAACTGCCCAGGGGTGGTAGGCTCTCAATCCCATTACCTTGTAATAAGCACTCTTCTGTTCTTCGAAAAGCGCCCACCTAAATTTTGAAGTTCGACTGACATCATTTCAGACACTTCTCTACTCTTTGATGTGAGATCACTGATTTTTAGAAAACTATCTTTTAAATCTTGCATTTTCAAACGTTACATTATTTTGTCTATCACAATAGATTGCATGAAGAAGGCTCTTCAGCCAATTTGATCTCATATTGAAAATATTTCCATTATTCCACTGAACAGTTTTTGAAAAAAAATTGTGTCCTGACCTCAAACATCCTTCATGGTAACCTGCTCTAGTCTTTATGTACCTTCTGTGTAAAGTTTGACTTTCTGGTATCTGCTCTAAACTTGGCCTTCACAACCTGAACCAAGCTATCTCGTCGTTCCCTGCAATATGTAAAATTATTCTTTTGAGTTTACTTCCCTTATCCCATTAAGCATCTTATATAACTCTACAGGGCCCGAATTGAGACATCTCATAGGTTTTAGAGCCCAGGTTACACACAGTTCATTTTCAAACACAGTTAATCAACCTTAGTTCTCTTGTTTTGTAGTGCCTCTGAGCATGACACATGCTGATTTGAACTCTCACATACAATTCAATATCCCTTATCAACAACAACAAGATACAACAACAAGATTCCATTTATAGAGCGCCTTTCACGTCAGAAGGACGTCCCAAGGCGCTGTACAGTTGGGTCAGGACCCGAGCAGGGGGGAAATGGTCAGGGTGAGGGAAGGGAGGGAGCGAGGAGGGGGGAAATGGTCAGGGTGAGGGGAGGGAAGGGAGGGAGCAAGGAGGGGGTAGAGAGTCGAGAGGGGAGCTGAAGGCACGATCAAAGAGAAAGGTCTTGAGACCGGACTTGAAGGAGGAAAGGGAGGAGGTGGCAAAGGCACTGGGGGATAGAGTTCCAGAGCCTGGGGGCTGAGAGGCTGAAGGCCCGGCACCGAAGGTAGGGCGGTTGGGGCGAGGAATGTGGAGCAGACCGGAGCCAGAGAAACGGAGGGTACGGGCGGGTAGGTAGGAGAATAGTAGGTCGGAGAGGTAGGAGGGAGCAAGGCCGTGAATGGCCTTGTAGGTGAGGATGAGGATCTTGAAATCAATCCTCTGGGGGATGGGGAGCCAGTGGAGGCGAGCGAGGGTGGGAGTGATGTGGTCGCGAAGCCTGGTGCGGGACAGTACACGAGCTGCAGAGTTCTGAATGACCTGCAGCTTGTGGAGGGAGGTGGCGGGAAGGCCGACGAGGAGAGAGTTCCCATAGTCCAGCCTTGAGGTGATAAAGGCGTGGACCAGGGTTTCAGCAGCGTGAGGGGTGAGGTAGTGCCGTAGTCTGGCGATATTCCGGAGGTGATGGAAGGCGGTGCCAGTTGTGGCGCGGATATGAGGGAGAAAGGACAGCTCAGGGTCGAACAGAACACCGAGGTTCCTGACTGGCTTTGAGAGGTGGAGAGTGCAGCCTTGGTTGCTGATGGTGTCAGCGCCTGACACCATCAGCATTATCCTATGAGATTATAAACCTTATTGGCTAGAATTGCCCATGCAATATTCCCTCTTTCAGTCGACACCAGAATGTGTCTTGGTCAGTGCAATTTAGCACGTTCTGTGCTTTATTAATTGCTGCTTCACATGCTTCAGACAGTTGAGGATTGAGTCACCTTAACTAACATCCACCTTTGTTTTTTTTACTTCAAACTCACTTGATTACAAGTGTATTAAATGATCAAGAAATGCCAGGTTTTATCCCATCCATGACTTCACTGCATTTAAAACCTAAATTGTTTACAGCAAAACATTTTCCTGAGAAAACTGCTATAATGTTCAGGAATAAAAGTATAATACAGTTCTCCAATTCAAAATAGCAAACCCATTATCATTTTTATTTAAAGTTGTTTGAGATCTTATTCATTTTGTTTTGGTTAAATGCAACAGCTGTTGAGGCACACACTTTTCTACTTAAACAGAAATAGGTTTGAGACAACCCACATGTCACTGCAGTATGCTGCCCAGTAATTATTCAGAAAGCCTGGCTGTGACATGTCGTAAACAGTTTGATTCTTAATAGTAATAATTATCAGTGTATTCACATAATAAGACAGTGATACGAGTCTTAATAAGGGAAGGTTGAACACATCTTATTATACTGATTGGTGATCGAAATGGGCTACTAATTCAGTAAAAACAAAACAAGTCTCTACGTTTTACAAATAGTAAGATATTTCAGCTATTTAGCCAGGTTAAATATTTAAAAAAAATACATACAGGGCAATCCCTTTAGAACACAGCTGCCTGGGTCCAATGTTTCAGGTCCTGAATTATTAATAGGTACAATAAAATGTCTGATGTCCAGGTCAGTATGTTGCCACTGACTTGCTTCCTGTTTTTCTTTGTCAGCTGGGTGTCTGACAAATGTGGAAACCCATCACCATGCTTAAGAGTATCCAAACCAAATTGAAAATTCCATGCATCCCACTTACACATGGAAATTTCAGATATAAGATTGTTGGAAAGCAATGCGCATTCTCTCCCTGGACTGATGCATCCACCCCCGCCCCCCTTACTATGTTCAAGCCTTAGAATCATAGAGCACAGAAGGAGGCCATTTGGCTAATCATATCCATACCAGCTCCTTGAAAGAGCTATCTAAATTAATCCCACTCCCCCGCTCTCTCCCCAAGGCCCTGCACATTTGTCCTCCCCAAATATCTATCTATTTCTCCCTTGAAAGTTCAGTTTCCACCACCCTTTTAGGCAATGCATTCCAGATCATTAATGAAGGCTAACTTTAACTAACTCCATCCTATTCTTTGTATACATTTATGACTTTCGCAGAAGTTACATTTTCAGATAATACTCAAATAAGGGGAACTGTGAAATTAGAGACTGCCAAGATCCTACAAAGAGCTTAGTACAATATGTACTTTGGCTGATCACTGGCAAATAAATTTCAATACAAATAAATGTATTACTGCATATAAAAACTAATTAATAGAACGTACGTACACTCCATGCACAGGATAGCACTTGCCAAGGAAAAAGTTGAAAGCGATCTAGGGGTATTAGTTGACTCATCTCTAACCACGTCAAAGCAGTATGAAGCAACAATAAACGAGGCAAACCGGATACAGTTCCAGATGGCCAAATAAATTGAGCTCAGTTCCCCAGGAGTCATGCTCAAACTATACAGTACTCGGATCAGATTACCCTCAAATGGTCGGGTTGCTACAACATCAGGGTGTTGCTCAGACCTTTCGAAATATATACGATGCTAAGTGGAACTGAGATAGTAAAGTCAGAACAATGACACATAGACAATTAAGGTATCTGGATAGGAATACAAAGGGTTGGAATCAAGAGAGGTAGAAGGCAAGGAGCATGGGGAAGAGAGGATGACCGAAGGTATGGTTGAAGAGGAAGGTCTTGAGATGGGCCTTGAAGGAGGCAAGGGAGGTGTCGAGGCAGAAGGGCTCAGGACGGAGTTCCAGAGAATGTGGGCAGAAAGGCTGAAGGTCCGACATGCCGATGGTGCAGGGGGCAGGGCGGGAACGTGGAGCAGGCCAATGCCTACCGAGCAGAGAGAGTAGATTGGTAGGTAAATGTTTAGTCAATAACAAAGGTAGGGAAGAGCAAGATCAGGGAGAGCTTTAAAGATGAGGACAAGGATCCTGAATTCAACCCTTTGGGGATGGGGAACCAGTGAAGCCAGGCGAGGATGGGAATGATTGGGTCACAGAGCCTGGTGCGGGAGAGCTCACAAGCTGCAGCTTGTGGAGTGAAGAATTGGGAAGTCTGGCTAGCAGGGAGTTAGCATTCAGCCTGGACGTAATTAAGGCATGGATGAGGTTCTCGGCAGGAGAGGAGAGATAGTGGCAGAGGTGTGCAATATTGCAGAGGTGGGGGAACGAAGAATGGGTCATGGCATCGATGTGGGGTTTAAGAGATGGCTCAGGCTCAAACAAGAAACCAAGATTCTGTACTGACTCTGTGAGGTGGAGTGTGCATCCATAAATAGTGATGCTGTTAGTGCCTGGAGTGAGAAGGTGCCAAGCAGGAGGGCTTTGATCTTGGCGATATTCAACTGGGGAAAATTGGCTCTCCTCCAGACTTAATATATGACAGACATTTTGTCAGGACAGCATTGGTCCTGGAGTTGATGGTGGAAGCAGAGAGGTAGAGTTAAGTATCATCTCCAAACATGTGGAAGTTAGCCCCATGCCTGCGGATGATACCCTGAGCGGGAGCATGTAGTTATTGAAAAAGAGAGAACCGAAGGCAGAGCCCTGGGGAACACGGCACGTAATTGCATTTAACGAATAAATTATACAATTCATAATATTTTTCCTATTTTATTTTCAATTAGCCACACTGCAATCAATATAATGCATCAATTCCTTAACATGAATGATTAAAATTATTGTTCTAATAAAGAAATATAAAGAGATATTACTTACAGTTGCATGTGATATAGTTAGATAGCCATTCTTGACGTTGCATTTTCTTCTCTGCCAAACCTTTCTAATGCTAAGTTTTAAGAAAAATATATTTTTGGTATATCGTACACAATTAACATCACAATAGTTTTGCCTGCCCATTATGAATACATGTGTATTTATTAACAGATGTGCTGAATATGCTACAAGCTATTTCCATAGCTTTGTTCTATGTACAATTCATTGTCAACTCTCATTTGTAAACTGCTCATCACAATTACGTTATTTGAGGTGAGCAGTGCCCCTGGAATCACATCCCAGCAAGAAGAGGATACTTGTCTCCACAATGAAGTATGGCTTTTTGATTCTGGCTAGTGAATAGACACAAAAAGGCATACATGGGGAAACAAGTAGAAAACAGATACATTAATTTTTTTAAAAACAAATCTCTCTCCTGCTTACTTCCCTCCCATCTTTTAATTCATCTCTGTAAACCACTTTGAAATACTCTCCTACATGAAAGGAGTTTTTAAACTGCAAGATGTTGAACCAACAAGTTTGAATAAGGCATTAAGAACTGATACCCTTTCAATTTAGATGTAGTGATCAGCAAGTGTTAAATCATCTAGTGTCTACATAGAAAATGAATACATACCCATCACTTTTTTTCATAAGGTATCCTTTCTTTTCACTGCCATACTCTTTGTTTCCCTGAAGTTGGTGCATACTGTATCCCGACTGCTTACTTTGGGAATCCTAGGCAAAGAAAATAGATAAATTAAAGCTATGAACAGTACATAGAATAGGAAAACACCAAATATCTAATAGCACTACATATGATCTAAAGAGTAACAACACTTAGATTATTCAGCCATCTTAATAGGTGTTATCTTAACTAATTGCATTAGTAACCCATTTTGAGTTTTTGAATAATATTTCGTAAATACCAACTTGTCAAGAGCAGTGCCATAAGATGACCACGGAACCTTTCTATGAACATATGCTCTATTCTGTTCTCAATTATAATTTGATGTGATAATTCAACTGTACGATTTTGTTTTTTAAGAGACACATGAACAATTATGATTTCACTTCATCTTCAATTGATAAATGTTCTTCATATAATCGCTAATAATGGAATATTTAAAACAAACTAACAAGGTGACTAAGATGAATATAGATACAACCTTAATTGAACCTTATACTGAATAATTGTATGTGTATGCCTTTATAGATTCCTTTTCCAGGAATATTGTAAAAACTAGACACATCTTAAAGTTTAGGTTTCTCTAACATCACCTTGATAAACTGACCTCAGTCTTAGAAGTGGTCAGGATTTTGTTTCATTTTCCTTTTCTATTCGATATTTGTCAATTTAGACCTCTGAGCATCAAGACTAAGGTGTACTGTACAACATGTAATACAATCTTCACAAAAATCATGGAAACTAAATCTGGGCAGATTTATGTTGGTGAGTCTCAAACCCCAATTCTCTGAATGCTGATCATTTGTCTCATCTTAAATTTCAACTCAGATTTTAAAATGTGAAAGGCAGTAATTTGATGATTACATATGGACTTGTTGAAGATAAACCCTTTGAAAATCTTGAGTTTATTTTATTCAATGTTCAACTGTTTCTTATTCTTTTCCAAACATTACTACAAGTTTTTACAATGGAAATATGAGAATTTCAGCAGTATAAAATAGGTAAGACACACAAAAAAAAACAAGACAAAACACATGCACAATTGATTAAAAGCTTTAACTTACTCTCCTAGACTTCGATCAGGAAAGGCAAAAGCATTTTTAGGAAGGAAAAAGTACAAAGTGTGAAAAATATATACTTTTACAAAGTTCATCAGGTACATATGAAAGAGTAGCGAGAATGCCTGAATTTTTACTGATGACATTAATAGAAATTTAAATTATAACAATGCCTATCATTTAAACTGTGTAAGATTCAAAAACTGCAGAGGCACAAAATCATATTTATTAACAAATGTCAATAATTCTACAGGTCTGTACTGTATGTATGCACTCAATTAACACCATCACAATTACTGGCTCAAATTCCAATACTGTTTTTAACTCACATACAGTAAGACTCACATAAGCCTGATCTGTATAAATCATATTATTGCTTAAGTCATACATCTGCGCAAGTCTGATTGAATTTCCTATTATTTATAAGTTTCACATAACTATATTTTGCAGAAGTTATATTAAATGTATGGTTCCAAGCAATACAACTTATGTGAGGTTTACTGTACATTTGCAATTATTTTCAGTTAGCCTCTAGTGCATCTCACAATACAAAATACATCCTAAATTGTAATAAGTATATTATCAGTACCAAATTTCACAGAGGCTTCTGAAATAGGACTGGCAAAACTCTTTCATCTGCAATATCTTCCATTTTAGGTAGCAGCACCCTCAGTGCTGCATTTTTGAAAAATGTGTTACAATTTCAATACTTCTAAAGTACTGGATTTATTGAGACAAGTTCCAGGACATTGAACCTGAAAATGAGTTGCATTCTTCATTGTTTTTCCTGACAAAATCATATACTTTTGCAATAAATTTCAGTTAGCTCCTAGGGTATTTCATGATATAAAATGCATGCCAAATTGTTATAACTATATTATCAGGACTAAATTTCACAGCGACATCCAGGAGCCAATTTTGCAAGCACAATAAAGAAGAAAATGCTGGGTTATGTTTACTGTGGCAGTGCCAAAAGATTCAATACATCACCTTTTAGAAAAATGTATACTGAATTGTGGAAACATTACTGATATCCATCATCAGGGACAAAGTAACTGAGTATCTGGATATTTAATAAGGGAGTCAGCATGATTTTATGAAAGATAGATCATACTTCACAAACGTAATGCTGTTCAACTCCTCGTTATGCACATGTCGACTATCGACTGCTCGTGTGAAATGCAACGTCAGCAAAAAAGTTTAGTTTTGTGTTTCCCAGGTATGCATGTTGCAAATGAACTGGTAACACAACAAAAGGTTTTTCTTTTTGAAGGCAAGATGTAAAGATTTAGAAAGTCAGACTCCGAGAAGTTTAAGTTTAAATTTTCTAATAGACACTTGGGAGTCTCAGAGGGAGAAAAGACTCAAAGACAGAAAGCAAGTTGGCACAGAGTGGTACAGTAAAACTCACATAATTCATATCAGTCAAGACTGTAACATAATTACTTTTGTGAAGTCCGAGTTATAGTTGTACTTGTAAAAATTGTGTAAAATCTGATTTAATCAATAATCTTCACTGTGCATGCATAATTCAATGTGCATGTGGCCCCATTGAATTGTGGAAAATGTAGTTTTGACCCTTGTCACATGCGCATATACTGGCAACCTTTGGAATCGCATTGAAATTGTGGGAAATTTAAGCTCTTCTGCGCATGTGGCGATGAGTCAAGACTAAGTTTCGTTGAATCAATAATGCTCGCCTTTCCCCCAGAGGGGCACATCCTGTTTACTTAATTCTGGAGAGTGTTAGTTACAGGTTGGCAAGACTCAAGGTTTGGAGACCTCAAGAGTGTGTGTCAGGGTACTGCTGGAGCTTAACCAGCTAAAACCATATCGCTTGACATTAAAAGCACTACCTTGGAAGCATCTCACTGCTGGTCCAACAAGGACCACCCTACACATGAGGGCTGGGCTTATTGGTGCTAAGAAGGAAGAGTGCCTGTGCCCAGTGATCATTCTTGTTACTCCAAGAACTGCCAATGAGTGCCCCGGCTGGTCTGTTACCAGCAGTGATCTGGAGTATCACAAATCCATCTGACTTGATTCTGACATTCCACTGCCAAGCAAGTCACCTTAGACCCAGCTCAGCGCCAACAAGACCCTGCTTATCTATCCCCAAAGAGATTGAGGGTTACCAGAGAATTGATATAGAAGGAACTTGCTCTGATTGGTACATAGTGAAAAGTTGTGTGCCCAGGGAATTGGTGATTGGGCCTCACTTTTTGATGATACAACTTTGAAATAGGTATACAGGGAAGTAATTATAAGTTTGCTGATAACACTAATAATAATAATCCTTGCATTTGATATAGCGCTTTTCACGTCGGGAGGACGTCCCAAAGCGCTTCACAGAACACACTGTAAAGTGAATTGACTGTATATTTGTGGGCGAACTCGGCAGCCAATTGCGCACAGCGATGTCCCACAAACAGTCGTAGATTGAAAATGACCAATTTATTATTGTTTTTGGTTTTGGAGGGATTATCATTAGGCGTGTGGAGTAAGGAAACTTGCCCAAGGTTTCGCCCTGCCTGGAATTGAACTCAGGTCTCTCGCTTGCAAAGCGAGTGCTCTAACCACTGAGCTACAGGACTCCACGAGTCCTACACTAGGACTAGACTAGGGAGTATTGTAAATTCTGGAGAGGACAGCAGAAAAATTGCAAAAGGACATAGACAAATTAAGTGAGTGGCTGGAACTTTACCAGATGGAATTTAAAATAGCAAACCATCTATCTATGTCTCTTTTATACATCCCGAAGGACATTAAAGTGTATGTAAAAAGGCAGGAAATACGTTTATTTTAAAAAGGCACAATATAAACTAGTATTCAGGACAGATTGAATGTTACTCTTGTTACTATACATAATTTTAAAAAAAATCTAAATTCAAAGCAATAAGGAAGATATGTTTACAAAAGACTCACTCAATCCTATTAAATGGATGGCTAGGTTAATTGAACATCTTGGCAAATTACAGGATTACAGGAATACTAATATGAAAAACACAAAATTGAAAGCATTAAAATATAACCCACAGATTACAACACATAAAATATGATTTGAATATTTTGTCCTTAAGGCTAGAAGTATCATCACTAGTGTCTACCATTCAAGTTCTACACTTTGCTATCTACACTAAATGCAGAAAGAGGGCAATATGGCACAAATCCTGGAATCTCAATATATTCTTAAAAAAATAGTCCTGGAAACCAGTTACTGAATACTCTAATAAGAGTATTATTATTATTAATGAGGGTGACAAATTCTGATAGCAGCTTTTCTCAAGACTCACATCACTGAAAAACTGAGTGGAGGTTGCCTGGATTTTATTCAAGATCTTTGGCATATTAACCCTCCCAGCATGAGAATTAACCATTATTTTGAATAACCCCAAGCTACTTGTCTTCATTATTTTGTTGGGAGGTTTTGACTTTTTAGTGTTGGTAAAGCCAATCCCAATTATAATGCATTTCTGATTTTACTCAAACGTTTTCCCTCCTTCAATCTTTACTTATAAAAAAACTGAGATGCTATCCCACGTCAAGGGTGCTATATAAATGCAAGTTGGTTGTTGTTATAATGAAATGGATTACATTATAAATTTAATATCCGACAACTATTACTACAAACCAAAAATACATGGTATGAATTTTCTTGAGATTGCTTCTTTAAAGAACCTCAACCCAAGCTTTAAATTTCTTCATGCTCTCATCTCACCCTACTTCTGCAATTTCCTCCAGCTCCATCGACCTGCCTCTCTGTACCCTTTGCTCCTCCAACTCTAGCCTCACCTTAACTGGCTCATCATATCTGGCCAAGCCTTTAGCATCCATGTACTTGCTCTCTGGACATTTTCCCAAAAGTCTCTTTGAGCTTTTTCTCTGACCTTCAAAATCCCCCCTTCTTGATTATGACTTTTATCATCATTCTCAAACTCCCTCCCCTTCATTCCACATTGCTCAATGATCCATGTCATCCTTTGAGACATTATTCTGTAAGTGCAAACCGTTTACAAAACTATGCTAGTTACTGGATAAAGAAAATTAAATTAAAAGTTATAAAACTATAGAACAGTAAGAACACAGAGATGTTAAATTTCATTTGGTGACTAAAATAATTTGCACTGCTACAAATTACACAACAGAATATGGGTAATATTCTTTTTTGGCATTTTACATTAATAATAATCCTTGCATTTGATATAGCGCTTTTCACATTGGGAGGACGTCCCAAAGCGCTTCACAGAATATACTGTAAAGTGAATTGACTGTATATTTGTGGGCGAACGCGGCAGCCAATTGCGCACAGCAATGTCCCACAAACAGTCGTAGATTGAAAATGACCAATTTATTATTGTTTTTTGTATTGGAGGGATTATTATTAGGCGTGTGGAGTAAGGAAACTTGCCCAAGGTTTCGCCCTGCCGGGAATTGAACTCAGGTCTCTCACTTGTAAAACGAGTGCTCTAACCACTGAACTACAGGACTCCACGAAGAGGTGGAGGTAAGGGTACATTGGGGTAAGGCTGGGCTTCAATTATTATTGCAGCACAAAGTGAGGAAAAAAAACCTACAGCACTTTTAAAATGAATATTGCATTCTTAGCTGAAGAAATATTGCATTCTTAGATGAAGGTAATAACAGTGTTCTGGCCCAAATATTTTATAGCAAGTAAATAACAATTTGTACTTCTATAGCACCCTTCATACCAGTAGTATCTCAGAGAGCTTAACAGCAGTTTGGTTTGATGCCGAGCTAGAAAAAGCTTAATTTTATCTCATCTTAGTGCTGCTTCTAGGCAAAATATTAACCAAACTACTAATGCTGTTTATGACCCCGGCCAAAGTAAGAAAGAACAGGAAACATAAATTTGGCTTCCGCATCCCTTTGGCCAGGAGCGACGAATAGTGCAATATAAACACAGCATTATTGCTATCGCTTTTCTTCCAGCAGTAAACAGCAGGATGCTTGAGGTTTTTTTTGAGGAAGCTACAAATAAAGCAGATGTGCAGATA